CGGTGGGATGTCATACCGTCCGACCGCTCGCCTCATTGATGTCGAACATTGCACAAGAGCCAAATGAGGTAGCGCCCGTGCGGTGCACTCATTCGCTCAGTTTTGCCTCGGCTAACGTCTGCAGTGCACAACGAACAAACTTGCACAAAGCACACAGAACGTGGTTTGTGTGGGACGCATTTCGTGCTCCCAGGCTTTTGACAGTATAATTGAGCTTGCATAATTTTCATTATTTGTCCTTTCCTTTTGTGCGCACCATCGAGATGTGAAAGCGAAAAAAAAAAGCCACGACGAAAGGGAGGTATATTTATAGCCTTTATTGTTCACAATGTTTCTTCTTTCATCCGATTTTCCAAAAAACTCTTTTTCTTTGATAAGACTATGTGCCAAGAGACTGAGGGAGTGGAGGAGACGAGAGCGCATGGTTATGTCAGAACGCCGAGCTCTGGTTGGAATGATTAGTGGGTAGACTCGTCGAACGCGTTAGAATGCGGAACGTCTGGTGTACGGTGTTTGGCTCCTGCATTCGAACGTGTTCGATGAGTGCAGTGGAGACAAAGGCAGCTAGCTTTTGGTCTACCCACTAATCGTTCCAACCAGCGCTCGGCGTTCTGGCGTCCCCTCGCGCTCTTGTCTCCTCCCCTCCCTCAGTTTCTCTGCACATAGCCACTGACAGAGTGAGAAGAGCAGGGCATGTTTTTTTAATGGGACACTGACAGGGTATTTATTCTCGCCAGGTTTTTTATTTGTACATGACATACAAAAGCACGACTACCCAGAACTCAATTCGCGGCTTGAAATTGTTTTTTTTTTTGCCCGAAAACTGACGATTGAGAACTGGCCGGTTTGAGCTGCGCTTACTCTCTTCTCCCTGGTCATGTGTCTTTTTCTATGGTATAGACACAACCACCAAAAATTCTCAAAGTCGTGGGTCATCGAAGGCGCACTCTCAATACTAAAAGTGGGCATTTTTTTGTGGCTTCTATTATAAAGTTGCAAATACAATAATTGGAAAAAAACAAGTTGCACAGTGTACATAATTTTTGGTAACTCTCCCCACCTCTATATTTCCTCTTCCTCCCCAGTCCAGTTTCTGTTTCGAGCAGTTACATTTTCTGACTTTATTCAAAATATATGTGACGCTGTAGAAAAATATTGATTAAGTTGTCTTCTGACACCATAATACCGGGTGAAACAAGGAGACGGTAGGCTCTTTAAATCGACCGGAAAATTCGGTTTCTTAACCTATCGCGCTACGACTTTGTGCAGCGTTGCCCACAGATGGTGCATTTTTTTCGTAAAATTTGCAAAGAGCGAACTTACCTGAGGAAAAAGTAAAGAAAGAAAAAGGCTTAGCTCCTATGGAAACGCAGCGACGCCACCGGTCTGCAATCAACACGGCGCCGTTTCGCACGGTAGACAAGAGATGGCGCAAGCGGTCGCGACGCCAACTGCCGCCAACGAACGAGCAGACGACGCCGAGAACCGGCGTTTTTAGCAGACAAGGAACTGCAGTTCCTTGTTGTTACCGCGCCTGTTTTTGTTTCTGCAACTGTCGCCGTTTGCGGAACGCGCGCCGCTTTTGATTCGAAAAGATCGTCTGCTAAAAACGCTGGCTCTCGGCGCCGTATGCACATTCGTTGGCGGCGTTCGTTGCGCCATCTCTTGTCTACCGTGCAAAACGGCGCCGTGTTGATTACAGACCGGTGGCGTCGCTGCGTTTCCATAGGAGCTAAGCCTTTTTCTTCCTTTACTTTTTCCTCAGGTAAGTTCGCTCTTTGCAAATTTTACAAAAAAAATGCACCATCTGTGGGCGACGCTGCACAAAGTCGTAGCGCGATAGGTTAAGAAACCGAATTTTCCGGTCGATTTAAAGAGCCTACCGTCTCCTTGTTTCACCCGGTAGATCGCCTGGCAAAAAATAAAAGACAGTTTTAGGGGGGGGTGTCAGTGTCCCTTTCGTGCCCAGCCTCCAGCACACGCTCCCTGCCCTCTGCCAAGCTTTGGCTGTGCTCAAGCGCTCAAGGAGACGTCGTTGAAGGTAGGAAGCCTGCGCTGGAGGTGGGACCCCCGAAGCTCGTTCCTGCCATTCTCGGCCTGTAAGTGACTAGTTTCTCCAAGCCCCGAGTCACTCAGTTTTCCAGGGAGTGGAAAATGGGGCGTTCACTCCCCAGATGTGTTAGTTGACACATTCCCGCACGCCACAAACATGCTTTTCGAACCCGTTGGGACTCTCACGAGAAAACTGCATATTACAGTCGCTGATCAAGTGGAACTACAGGGCGAGCCTTTAAGAAGTCGCAAAAAGCCAGCATCGGGAATCTGATGCCGGTTTAAATTTCACACGGTGCAGATCATCTAGAGGTGCGGACTGTACGAGGCTTTATTTTTTAGAGCGCAGCTCTTAGCCGCCCATTTGCGGCTTGAGCGGCGTCGCCGTCGGCGTAACTGCGCAATGACGATGACGGGGTCGCTGGTGACGGTGACGTCATCGTCACCAGCGACCCCGGAAGTGTATTCTACATGGGGGAGGCTAGAGGTTGAAATAAGAAAAGGAGGGAGGGGGGGGAGTAAAAATAATTAAAATTGAAAAAGCGACCATTACCAATATTTTACTGATTAATGCAAACGTACGATTATCATTTACGGATATTGTGGATCATATTCAACCTATTTTTGAACGCGACGGGTATATTTCATATTTCGTTGAAGTATTCCTTTAAGGGTAAAATGTTTCAATTAGTTTTGGAAATGGTCTTGTTTCTTCTAAGTTCAGTCATTTAGAACTTCGCAGCCATTTAGACGTATTACTCTAAGCCAGGGGCGGCCAGGCTGACTTGGCCTAAAAGCCGCAAACAAAACCACTGAACTTCCAAGGGCCGCCTAAAAAAAGATAAAAAAACACAAAAAAAGGGATGGGGGGTCCAAACTTTCTTTTTCAGACCATTAAATGAAACTTGAAGTACTTTAGATCTGTCCAATTCGAAAGCAGATCAACTGTACGTACCTACGGTAGCGGTGGCACCGGACCAAACCGCAACCTGTCTTGATTTAAAACTCTTTCCTTTTCTCTTGGAGAAGTGCTTATGTGGCGGGAGGGAGGCAGGAAAGGAGGGGGGGGGGGGGGGGGGGTGTTAGGTATACTAGGGAGCCACGAGCCATACTTTTACACGCAAAGAGCCGCAGCTTGGCCATCCCTGCTCTAAGCTAAGAATAAAAAGTCATACGTCAGAGGCTCGAGAAAAAAAAAATTTGCATCAATCTTATCATTTCATGCCAGAAAAGGTGTCTCGCACTGGCAGATCGGACACGGGCTCCAGAGCAGTTGCTTGCAGTCGGTGCCTCTCGGAAATTTTTGGGGAACATCTCAAGAGCCGGCTTCTTGAAACGCCTGTTAGTGGTTAGAAAGGAATGCCTCTCGAGGTTCACCTATATTTCTTTTTGCTTGTTTTAAACCTGTCGTTTTGGAGGAAACTTTTCATATGGAACTATGCTAAAAGACCAAAAATATACAAAAAATAATGTGTAGCATGTATGTTGCTTGTGTAGCCTTCGGCAACACTTGCTTGCCTTCCAACACACCATTGTCTGTACAACGCATCAAGGGTGCCCCAGTACAATAGAGAACTCCGTGGTCGTCCTTCCGTCTGGTTTCAATTAGAAGAGACCTAAAAGGGACTGCCAGCGTCTACAGCGTTGCTCCCTCCGACAAGGAGGGTGGGAGGCAACGCTTACATTTTGTTCCTCTTGCACAGTTTTTTATAACGAGCTCACAAACACCAGCTCGTCTGGAGAATGTAACTTTGTGGCATCCCTGTTTCTCCACTGAAGAAAAAAAAAAAAAAAAGAGGTGGGGGTGGGGGGGGGGGGGATGGCACGACGTCAGAAAGCCAGGGCCCAGAGGCTCCTCTGAGTTTTGTTCCACTTTTAGGTCTGAGCTATTCTAAACTGAAAGCGACTATTGTTTCCAAATCTTTGGGGACTAGCATGGGGCCCCCCGGGGCCCTGGGCTGCAGCCCTCTCACCCCATGCCTTAATTCGGCCCTGGGGGAGAGGGAGGCCTTGAGCCAAATGCACGGAGGCTCAGCATATTACCCAGCACCCCCTGGAAAATGGCAGCGGGTGCTCAAGCCCCCGTTGCCCCCCCCCCCCCCCCCCCCCCCCGGTTCTGGGGTCCCTGATCGTCACTGACGACGTCATCAGTGACGATGACGCTAGATTCCCCGCTTAATATAGCGGAAAAAATTTCCCCACTAAATCTAGCAGAAACAATTTCCCCACCAAATTTAGCGGAAAATATTTCCCCGCTAAATTTAGCGGAAAAAATTTTCCCGCTAAACTTAGTGGAAAAATTTTTCTACTAAATTTAGTGGAAAAAATTTCCCCAATAAAACTAGTGGAAAAAATTTTCCCTTTTAATCTAGTGAAAAAATTCCCTGCTAAAGATAGGGGAAAAAATTGTGCCGCTAAATTCCCGCCAAATTTACACGCGATGCTCTCACCAAAGACGTGCATTTTCTGCGAATTGCATTAAGCAAACGTCGATCCACGCCCACGTTAGTAAAGGGGGACTTTCCACCTTTTCCCCTCAGTACCCTTCCCTCCTCCTTCTCAAGAGCTGCGCTCTAATTCTGTGTTAGAGGGGCTTGTAAACGTCTTTCATATTTTTTATCAAGATCATTACGACGAAGTGTAATAGGTTTTGTGAATGACAGATTATGTTAATAATGACTTCTGTATGATGTATAAACTTCTTTGTGGACAAATAAAGCAACCAATTTTTCTGGAGTGCGAGGAAACAATTTTTTTCAGGGCAAAATATGCATTAGTTGCAGACTTATGTGTGCGGTGCCAACTATCTAAGAGAAAAAAAATTTCTGCCTAGATTTATCCTTGCAGACTATGCAGTGGCTGCAGACTATAGTCTCGAAAAAATTGTACTCTATGTTTGAATTTGATAGATGGGAAGCGTGGACGTGAACGAGTCACCCCCGTTCCAGGACTAACAGGAACACCGAACATGGTGACCTTACGGGCACAGATTGCCGGTTCCCGCCTGCCACGGCGACCGTCCCGCCCTGGCATTTGCCCATTGGCCTCGGGTCTCCCCCTTCGGAACCCCAAAGTGAGTGGCTCTGGAAAGGCTGGAATAAGAACAGGAATCGGAAACCAATTGGAATGTGCCTTACACGATTCATCAAGTTTAGGAAGGCGAAAGAAACTCATTTTAGACACTTTCTGGTCTGTTTAGCCTTCTTCCTGCGTAGGTGCAGACACAGAATTTCGTTGCAAATGAAAGTTTAATTCTCGCCGTGCTGCTGCTTCGTTTCTTCTTGGGTGATGACGACTCCTCTTACCAAAATCTTTCACCGTGTCTTATGTTTCCAACAGGATATCATAGTGCTCTGTTTCACCTTACGATAGACCGCAGCGAATGCTATGAGCCATTGCAACCTATCCGGTGCTCTGAACGCGTCACATGAATACGTACCCCGTGCATCACTGCGCCCCTCCCGAGGGCCTCATGATGCTCACACAGCATTGAACTGGCTCCGATGAGCGTCTGCCTTGGTTCAACTTAAGACGAAATAGAGTATAGCTGCCGTCTTGGACATGGGAGCTGACTCAACTTTGCGGTCGCAGGTGGAGCGAACAAAAGCATGTCGACTGCCGCCACGATGCAGCCTGCATGGCCCGCCGCCGGAACAGTGGGCCAGGCGCCAATGCAGTCGAGCCAGGTTCCCAAGCTCAGCCCGGCTGCGAAACCAGAGCAAGGTGCAACTTTGCAGACTAACGAGCAGCGGGGAAAAGGCGCCAAGCCAACTGAGCCTGCAAAGGCTGTGGAGAAGTCCCTTCAGTTATCTCGCAACTCAAAAGACTGGGTGTCGACAGACCAAACACAGAAGGACGGGGCCCCGAAGGATCAGCGTCCCAAGGAGCGTAAAGAAACGCACGAGCAACAGTGGCAAACTCATTTTCCTCCCAAGCCGGCGGAGGAATTGCCTTTCAAAGAACCTCAGCAAACTTCCGGACTGGATAGCGGGAGTGTACCACATGAGAAACTGCGCAAGGTGCCTGCTCCCAGCATGCAGTCTCAACCAAGTGCTCCCAAGGCCACTGGAAAGTCATCTGCATCAACGGCAAAGCAGCAAAAAACGGCTCGGCCAGAACCGAGAGACGGGGCACCCTTGCTGCCTGTAAATCTGGAGAAGTCACCTTCCGGCGGCGCTTCTAAAAGTGAGCAGAAGCCGTTCCAGCCCCGACCGTCTAGCTCGAAAACCAAGTCTAAACCGGATAGGCCATTATCGGACGACATTTACGACAGCCACCTTACACCCCGCCGTAGCACGAGCAGGCTGGAGCTCACCGATCAAGAATCCTGGGACGATGTGAACCTCTTCTCACGGAAATCAAGCACCTCGGAAGGGATTGTGGCCAAAACCAGCGCAGAAAGCGGCTCATTCGTGCACGAAAAAAGGAACGGTGCTGGAGGCAGCCCTTTCGATCCTCGACTCTACCCCAGGTCTCTAGCCACGGTACCCCTGGTGCAGCCCATCATCCAGCCATTGTACAGCCTGTACGGTGGCTACAGCAGGTATGGCAGCATGGTGAGCTATGGCTCCAGCTACGGTCCTGCCTATGGTTCAGGTTACTCCTATTCGCCGGAACGACAGCTTGTCTTCGGACCCAGCTACCCTAACTACACCGCTGGACCCTGGCACCCGGGGTTTGTCCCAAGAGCCCCGACGGGGCTTTACCAACCGGTGCCGCCTCTGTACGGAACCACTAGAAAACCCTCGCTGCAGTCAAGAAATCTCAGCACGACTACGGCAAGGCAGCCTGCAAAGAAACCGGGTTCGACAGATTGCGGACCGCAGAAGAAGACTGACAAGAAGCCTGATCCTAAGGAGGCAAGTGTTCAGAGTTCCAAGTTGCCTCTGCTGAGCACCAAAGGTCAGAGGGGGGCCGTTGAGGGCAGTGCCAAGGAAAGTGGAAAAGACAGTGCTAAGGGTGCTGCGAAGGGAATGACCAAAGACGCTGGGGAAAACAAAGATGCTGGAATGAGCAGGCGTCCTACCAAGGGAAAGGACATTCCCGAGGAGGAGGGCACTTGTGGAGGCCAGAATGTTGCCGGTAACAAGAACACTGCCAAAGACAAGGGTGCTGCTGAAGACAAAAATGTTGGCAAGAACGACAATGCTGTCAAGGATAATGATGGTGGCAAGGGCAAGGACACTTGCAAGGGCAAGGATGTCAGCAAAAAGAACATTACTAATGGCAGGGAAACTACTAGGGAAAAAACTTCTGTCAAGAATGTGAATCTTGCAAATGACAGTGACAAGAAGCAAGGCAGAGAAGAGACATCAAGTGACACTTAGGGCACTACCAAAGGCAAAGAAGGCAAGCTTACTGGGAAACAGCAGCCATTTACTTGTTATTATATTTTGGGCCACAATAATCAATGCTCTTCTTGTTGCTTCATGTGCCTCCATCACTGAGATTTCATGACACAAACTGCACTGTGTTGCGGCAATTTAGCCACTTCCACAATAACGCCGGTCACACCGACACACCATTGTGCATCGGTGTGACCAGAATTTGCGGGGTGGTTGGCCTACCACTGCCCCAAGGGTTTATAATTAAAAAAATTGTGTAGAGTGGCATTGTTGCCCGGTTAAATGGACACTAACAGGGTATTTATGCTTGCCAATGTTTTTATTTGGATATGACATATACGAGCCCAGCTCCCCGGAACACAATTTGCAGTTCGAAATTCATTTTCTTTCTGCCCGAAAACCGCCGAAATGGCCGGTTTGAGTTGCGCTCACTCTCTTCTCTGTGGTCAAGTGCCATTTTCTATGGTTTAGACACAACCACCAAATACAATCGAAGTCGTGGGTGATCAAGAGCACACTCTCAGTACTAAAAATAGAAAACAAATATGCCTATTTTTAGTGGTTTCTAAAAACCGCAGATATAATAAAAAAAAAAAAAGTTGCATGGCCACGTGATTTTTGCAAACTCTCCGGCTTCAGGCCGCTGCCATCTTGCTTGTCTGGGGTGCGCTTGGGCGTGGCGAGTCCACGACCAACTCTATAGGCGAGTCATAATCCGATTACGAAGCCTTGCTAAGGCATCGTAATCAGATTATGGTTGCGCCTAGAGCACGGTGTGGCCTAGAGCACTATATAGCTCCTTCGGTATGGTGTACGAGCAGTTCTAGACTCTAGTACACCATACCTTTGGAGCAGAGTAGCGCAATCTAGAACGCCATCTCTCGCCGACTATACTCTATTTCACCTTATGATGTACCACAGGAAAGGCTACACGCGCGAGCTCCTTGCTCTGGGACAGATCTCGGCGGCACAAGCTCTCGTGCAATATGGGCAGCTGCCAACGCTATGAGCTCGCGCTTCTAGCCTTCGCTGCGGTACAACATAAGATGAAACAGAGTATAGTGGCGAACGCTCGGGGATTCCAACCAGTGTTACAGAATCGTGGGGAATTTCTTACAAACAGCTCCAGGGGGATTTGTTTGGTTTTAAAAATGAATATTTTACATGCATTTGAGTTAAGTTTATCGTTAGCCCTTAGCATTAGGCTTTCAACACAAGGTTGAAAATTTCCCATTACTCGGCAACACTGGTTCCAACTCCGGTCGCAGATGCATGGGGAACGTGAGAAAATTGTTGTTGCTTGATTATTTCGGGGATGTACGGATTGACAATAGTTTCTGACATAATAAAGGAACAGTTTACAATAATTTATGCTGTCCTAAGCCATGTAATTACATTTTAGAGCGCAGCTCTTAGGGGCCCGTTTCCGGCTTGAGAGGCGTCGGTGTCGCCGTCGGCGTAACCGCGCGGTGCATCATGGGAAATGTCCCATAATGCACCGCGCGAGCCCCCCACCGGGGTCACGTGACCTCGTGGGGGGGCACGTGACCCCCCGAGGTCACGTGACCCCGGTGCATCATGGGAAATGTCCCCGTAATGCACCGCGCGAGCCCCCCACCAGGGTCACGTGACCTCGTGGGGGGCACGTGACCCCCGCCGATGTCGCGTGACCCCCAATGACGTCATCGTCACTGATGACGTCACCGGCATCCACATCGTCATCATCACTGATGACGTCACCGGCATCTACATCGTCATCATCACTGATGACGTCACCGGCATCCACATCGTCATCGTCATCATCACTAATGACGTCACTGGCATCCGCATCGTCATCATCACTGATGACGTTACCGACATCCGCATCGTCATCGTCATCATCACTGATGACGTCATCAGTGACGTCACTGATGTCGTCACCGGCATCCACATCGTCATCGTCATCGTCACTGATGACGTCACCGGCATCCGCATCGTCATCGTCATCACCACTGATGACGTCACCGGCATCCGCATCGTCATCGTCATCATCACTGATGACGTTACCGACATCCGCATCGTCATCGTCATCATCACTGATGACGTCATCAGCGACGTCACTGATGACGTCACCGACATTCGCATCGTCATCATTGGTGAAGTCATCAGTGACGTCACTAATGACGTCATCGGTACCCGCATCGTCATCGTCACTGATGACGTCATCAGTGACGTCAGTGATGACATCATCGGCATTGGGGGCCACGTGACCCCCAAGGTCACGTGACCCCCAAGGTCACGTGACCCCCCAAGGTCACGTGACCCCCCCTGGTTAGTTTAACCCCCCCCCCCCCAGTGCACTTCCCTCCTCCTCCTCAAGAGCTGCGCTCTAATTCGGCGTTACAGGGAGTTGTAAACGGCTTTCACTTTTTTTTTTTAACAATTGCTTAAGCCGCATCATGTAGCTGACGACACGGTGACGTCACACTGTTCACGTGATCCACTCCGGCCAATCCGTAAAGTCCATCTTCGCTGCGTAAAACAATCGTCTGCTTCAAACGCCATTGCCTTGGAAATTCCCTGCTCAAAATTTTCACTCGCATCTAATATTATTATTATAACTCAGCCGTGTTTTGTCGATCTTCATGTATTCTCCCATAAGGCGGGGCGGCGCGCGCATCCCACTGAGGAAGATGGCGGCGCCCTGAGACCGGACTTCTTGCCGGACTTGCAAACGTGTATATTTCTTCTCCCTCCCCAGTCGTGTTTCGGTTTCCGAGCAATTGCATTTTTCTACTTCATTAAAAATATACGGGACGCTGTAACAAATATTTACTGGGTAGTCTTCTGACACCATAATAAATCGCCGGGCTAGGAAAAAAAAAACATTTTGCACATTATGAGGAATCCGCCGCCTCCGACACCGCTGGCCCAGGGCCATCATCATGATTCACCGAAACTTATTTTCTGTAACTTTTAAACTTTTGACACACTTAATTATTTGAGATATGCGGGTGTTTATGGAATATGTCTCGGTAAGAATATATTAAGATGTTGCGTCCCTGTTGGCTAACTGTACATTGTTAGTCGTGATTGTGGTGAAGAAGAAGCGATATTGATTAAACTCAACGATTTAATTCGGATTAACACGGATTACAAATTGCAGTCGACATGACGTGCGCGAGTCTTCGCCAGTGATGTTCCATACCATGTCCAAGAATTCCCTTTCTTGGGTTCAAAAATTCCCTATTTGAGGTACTTTTTCCCTGCAAATTTTTTAAATATCCCCGCTTGTTTTCCTGCATTTGATGCCTTTATTTTCGAATATTTCTGTGGTCATGCAGGCAGGCCGCTATGCGCGCATTTTACCACAAAAGCTGCGTAAAATGGCATGTTTAAAGAGAAGAAAATGTTACTGCCCTACCGAGAAACCCAGTATAACTTATCACTATGTGGATTACGGAACTGAGATTTCAGGTTTCCAGAAACAATTCCAGTTAGATTTCCAGTTTCACGAGTGAAAATTTATACTGCCTTTTTGGTAAGGTGATCAGTTTATATTTTATTAACTAGATAATATAACATTTAACAGTGTTTGGTAAAGTACATCTAAAAAGTACCTCGTGTAAAGTACAAAGCAAATGAGAGGTTATGTACTTCAAGTAAACTAGCAAGTACATCGGGTGCAATTTACTTCACGTAAAGTACTATAAATAGCATGTACTTCCAAAGTAAATTTGTACAAGTACTTTTTAACACAATCTTTCATGGGGGTAGTCGAGGGTGCATCAGTTATTTTGCTACGGACTAGTCATCTCACTCTCGCTGACAAACTGTGTAACACTATCAACCTATAAGGCACTTATTTGCATCGGTCTTATAGCCGCCATTACTTCACTCAAAGAAATTACCAAATGACATCTTGAAAAAAGATAGCGTTTCTTTACATAACAAGATACGTTTCATTTTTTTCAATTTCGGAGAATGTGTTTTGAAGTCGGAAGTTGTGCTTTTGCTCATGAAGTACAACAAAAAATTACTTTGAATGATGTACAAGTGCATTCTAGGAGAATGTACTTCAAGTTAAGTACAAGTTTACTAAACCTACTTCAAAAAAAGTCGTTAAGACACCTTTTTCCTGCTCCACAACTTTCTTTCTCTTTTTAAAGCTTTTGGACCACTCGACTTTTAGTGTTTAGCTCCCTCTATAGCTTTTCCCGAATTCCCTCATTAATTCTTTACATTCCCTGCAAATGTGTTAAAATTCTCATTTCCCTTTTCACCAAAATTGAGACCGGAAATTCCCTGAAAAAGGGAAAATTCCCTGCATGGAAGATCACTGGTCTTCGCGCGATCCTCTTCCTCCCCACCGGTGGCGCTAGCTGTCCGTCGGTGTGGAGCTTTCTCCGCCCCTCCACAGATGGCGCCTGGTGTCCGTTGAGTGGTTTGGGGGGACCGAGGGCCCTGGGGGCACTGAAGTAATTGAAAACCCAACGAAGTCAGGAGAGGCACCCAGGGTTAAAAAGAGGAGAAAACGTAAGAACAGGTATAAAAAAACAGCACAATCAGACATTGGATATATTAACATGCAGGGTGGTAGAAATAGGTTAAAATGGGAAGAGGTAGAGGAACAACTAAGAAAGGAGGATCTAATGGTGTATGGGTTTGTGGAAACACATCTCAGAGACATGGAGCAGCCACCTTGCAACCCTGACTATGTGTGGGAAGAATGCAACAGAATGGAGGGAACGAGGAAGGGACGTGGAATTGGAGCATTTATTAAGAAGAATATGAACTTTCAAAGGATCAGAAAGGAGTGCGCCGAACATTTGTGGCTGAAAGGAAAAGTCGCTGGGGAGTCAACGGTGCTTGGAGTGGTTTACTTATGGACAGGGACAGGTGCTAAAGAGGAAAACAGAAAAATGATTGATTGCATATCAAGAGACATTAGTGAACTAGGGGAAGGCTCCGAAATAATTATTATGGGAGACATGGATGCCCATATTGAGGGTCTGGATGGGTATACGGACTCAACTGGAAGCATATTACTAGAACTGGTGGAAAAACATGACTTAGTTTTATGTAATACCAGTCAGAAGTGTGACGGGCACATAACTTGGGAAACTGGCAATCTGCATTCAACTATAGATTACGTACTCATGTCACACAAAATATATGGTAAGTTACAAGTAATGAAAATAGATGAAGAAGGTTCCAAAAGTCTTGGTAGTGATCACAAACGTATTAAGCTGAATTTTGCCAGAGAAGTAAATGCTGAAACTAGACAACATAATTCAAAGCAAACTTTCTGCAGCGACAAAGAGTTGGAAATAGTTGTTGAAAGAATAGAGGCAACAGTTTCAGGGCAACGGCATACAAATTGGACCTATGAGAGCCTAACTAGGCTTTTTGCTCTAGAACTAGACAAAGTTAAGAGTAAACGAAAGGGGAAGCAAGGACATAGACCAAAAAGTTGGTGGGACAAAGAAGTGAAGCAAGCGATACAAAAACTTCAGGAAGCCTCTAGAGAACACAGGTATTCCAAGCGTAGTGGGGAGTCCAAAACGGAAGTAAAAAGAAAATGGGACAATTTTATAACATGTCGCCGAGAGGCATCCAGTTTGATCAATGCGAAAATTCAGAGAAAGGGTGAGGAATGGATGAGTAATGTAAGTAAGAAAGATAGAAACGCTGCCAAGAAGTTTTGGGAGCACTTGAACTCACTCGGTGAAACAACGCAAGCTAGACAGAGGTTCGTACTCTCGCATCAGGGAGATCAATTAGAGGGAGATGATGCGATACAATATATAGGAGCAGTGATGGAGGAGAAATTTCGGGAACGGTTACATGTGGAAGATAGGAGAACCGAAGGAAGTAGCAGTCCAGTTTGTGACATCGCGGATTTTGGACAAAGAGAATGGGAAAAGGCGGAACGAAGAGTCCCTAGTGGCACATCGACAGACACAGATGGTATCCCTATCAAGCTGGTGAAGAATTTGGGTCCTAAATCTAAGGCAAAACTAAGGGAGGTAGTGAGTACCATGATAACAAAAGGAAATATTCCAGATGAATGGAGGCTTAGTAGGATGAGTATGATATATAAGGGAAAGGGAGATAAGTCTGATATTAGGAATTATCGTCCTATAACCGTGACACCGGTTATTTACAGGTTGGTAATGCAGATTATAAAGAACAGACTGGAGGAATGGGTAGATTGCGAGGGCATACTGGGCGAGTTACAGAACGGGTTTCGAAAACAAAGAAGGTTGGAGGACAACTTATTTTCTCTAACACAGTGTATAGAAATAGCGCAAAAAGAAAACAGACAGCTCTGGCTGGCATTTCTGGATATTAAGGGTGCCTATGACAATGTGAACCAAAGAAACCTGTGGGACATAATGGAGAACTTAAACCTAGATGAAGGACTAACAGCACTATTAAGGAACATTTACAAAGATAACATGGGAAGGAAAGGCGACAGGGAAAATAGAGATAAGACGAGGCCTTAGGCAGGGGTGCCCGTTATCGCCTTTGCTGTTTATGTTGTATCCGAGAGGATTGGAGGATAGACTAGAGAAGAGTGGGCTTGGGTTCAACCTTTCTTACAGTAAGCTAGGCCAAAAAATTCAGCAATCCTTACCGGGATTGATGTATGCGGATGATATTGCACTAATGGCTAACAACAGGACAGAGTTGCAGGAATTAATGAGCATCTGTGGTAGGGAAGGAGAGGAATTAGGTTTAGAATTCAGTAGCGAAAAATCGGCAGTCATGATTTTTAACGAGGATGAAGTTGAGAAGCTGAAGATACAGAATATTACAGTTGAGAGAGCTAGTAAATACAAGTATCTAGGAGTATGGATATGTGATGGTGCAGAATATCTCAGAGACCATGAAAAGTATATAATAGGTAAGGGCAACAGAAATGCAGCTGTAATGAAAAATAGAGCACTTTGGAATTACAACAGGTATGAGGTGGTGAGAGAGATTTGGAAAGGGGTCATGGTGCCTGGCTTGACTTTTGGAAACGCAGTGCTATGCATGAAATCCGAAGTGCATGCGAGACTAGAAATAAAACAGCGCGGAGTAGGTAGACTGGCTTTGGGGGCACATTGCAAAACACCAAACCAGGGATCGAGTACAAGGAGACATGGGATGGGCATCATTTGAGAGCAGGGAAGCGGTGAGCAAGGTAGAATTTGAGGATAGGTTGAGGCAAATGGACGGGGAGCAATGGGCACGAAAGGTTTTCAGCTATTTATACATGAGGAGTGTAGACACAAAGTGGAGACAGCGCACTAGGAAATTAAGAGGAAAGTTTTTGGGCTATAGCGAAGATACGGAAGAGCAAGTTTCAGTTAAGAAGAAGGTTAAGGCCACAGAAAGAGATTGGTGGCTAGAGGGAATGCAGACAAAGACGTCTCTGGAAAGCTATAGATTAAACAAAACAGTTATTGCCAAAGAAAGCATTTATGACAATTCTAGGGGAAGCTCATTGCTGTTTGAGGCAAGAACGGGTGTTCTGCGAACCAGAACATACAGAGTGAAGTACCAGGAAATTGATACAGTGTGCACTGCTTGTGGAGAGGAGGACGAGACGGCTGAGCACTTGATACTCTACTGTAAAGGGCTTCACCCTATGCCTACCGAAGAAAACATAGATTTAATAAAGTCATTGGGTTTTAGAGACAGCGAAGGGAGAGTGGATTTCAAGACTGTAGAGATTACCAAGCAAAGATTAAGTGAATGGTGGCAGAAATCGAGAGAAAACTAGGTATTTTCTTATTCACTGATGGCAAGGGGGTTTCATAGCCTCACTTTCTTTGAATATTCTAAGCTTAAATGGTAAAACAAAATGGCTAGGTGGCGTAAGCTACCGCCCGATCCAAAGTGCACAGCCGTATTCGTCCATCCATCCATCCATGGAGTCACTGATCATTGAGATCAGTGAGTGGAGTAGTGTGGAGTAAACTCCTTGAGTGGAGCTCTCCGCTAACAACATTTGAAATATGCAAACTTTTGTTTCACCACGCTATCGTAAATAAAAAGCAAATTCATTTCTAACATTCACAAATAATATGACTGAAGCCAAAGCAGTGGTGTGGTTAGCAATAAATGACGTCACAGGATCGCGAGATGCTCTTGCATTTATAATGCAATTAAATGTAAAGGGGCAAGCTAGCTGGACAAGAATGACGAAAATAATCCCTGGAGGAGGGGAACAAAGGGACAAAGGACAAACACAAATCTCCAAACACAGCTAGGTGACTGGTGAGCGACCGAAAAAATCCGCCTGGTCTGGGTATCGAACCCGGGACCTCTCCATCTCCACCTGTAATGGAGAGGTCCCAGGTTCGATACCCGGACCAGGCGGATTTTTTCGGTCGCTCACCAGTCACCTAGCTGTGTTTGGAGATTTGTGTTCGTCCTTTGTCCCTTTCTCCGGGGATTATCTTCGTCATGCTCTTGCATCTCGCTATCCTGGCAGTTGGGTCGTACAAATGTTGGCGAAAGGCACAAGCGAACGCGAGTGTCGCTGTCGTCACAGCGACCCAACTTCTGACTGCTGAAGATTCCGTGGACTACGGCTGCTACGGCTTTGGAGCAGCTTTGGAGAGCCGACTCTGAAAGAGCACGTTGGAGCCGTTGGAGAGCGACTCTCAGGCGTCTGCCACTTTCACCAACGCCACTGGGTGACTGGGACACCGCTAGGATCGCGACCAGCGACAGCATGACACTTCTATGACGTCATCAAGCGGAAATTGAGGGACCACTGCGGAGTACTTCTGCGAAGTGCAGGCGTAGTGCAGGTACTAAGGAGCAGGTACGGTGTGGGCGAAGTCGGCCAAAGCTAGCGAAAGCCGCCGCCGCTGCCGCCTGCCGCTGCCGCTACTGCACGCTACGGCGCTACTGTCACCACTGCCACCTACAACCAGTACAACGATCGAGCTATCCACAGCTCTACCAGCCCTACAGCCTACAGCGTCCGCCACGGCCGCCACAGTCGCCGCAGCTTCCAGTGTGCTGCGCTAGCCTCGTCACCAGAGGCCTCGTCAACCTCGCCGGTCTTGCCTTTGTCCCGCGCGTCGGCGTCGTTGGGTGATACGACGAGTGCCATGGGCGATCGCGGTGTGAACGTGCCGCCGAACTCGGCCCCGTTGGTGGACCGCTGGCCGGAAAGCCGGGGTCCCGGCCGAGACGTCAAGCCGCCGATGCCGCAGCAGCAGCAGCAGCAGCAGCCCCGCTGGGAGCGACCGCGGGGCCAGATGCCGGCGTCGATGGACCCGGTGCTCGAGCAGCTCTCCTACCTCCGCGGGCCGTCCACCGGCCTCGAGACTCGAACCGTGGTCGAGCCTAAGAAGTTCACGGGCCGCTGCCGCCTCTTCGTCGGGAACCTGCCGAGCAACTTCACCGAGGATCAGTTCCGAAAGCTCTTCGAGGACTACGGAGAGGTGGCCGAGATCTTCCTCAACACGTCAAAGGGGTTCGGCTTCGTCAAACTGGTGAGTTTTAAAATGGCCGACGCCCGCGGTGCCTCGCGCTCCGTCCGGTTGGCCGGCCCGCCCGAAGCGCGACTGTGGGGGCTGAAAAGATGCTCGACGCGTTGCCGGTTCGCGATCGCAGGACACCCGGCAGAATGCGGAGGCGGCCAAGGCGGCGCTCGACTTCCTGCCGATGCAGCAGAACCAGCAGAAGCCGCTGCGCGTGCGGTTCGCCACTCACGGCGCCGCGCTCCGCGTCAAAAACTTCAGCCAGTGGGTGACCAACGAGCTGCTCGAGATGGCCTTCTCGGTGTTCGGCGAAGTGGAGCGCGCCGTCGTGATCGTCGACGACCGCGGCCGCTCCGTGGGCGAGGGCATCGTGGAGTTTTCTCGCAAGCAGGCTGCCCAGCAGGCGCTCAAGCGCTGTCTCGACGAGTGCTTCCTTCTCACCAGGTGCGTGGATTGCGCGGGCGAGTGGTCGAAAGGTGTCTTTGAAACGCCGAAAACAGCCGAGGGAAGTCGCCTCCCCTTGGGTGTTTCGCTCGGTGTGTGGCTGGTCACTCTACCTGTCATTATGCAGTTTGAATTTGGCTGCTACTTTCGCGCCAATATTGAGGAGAGTCTGAGTAAACAACTGAAACACCTATCCAACGTATGTTTACGGTTTTGCATTGTATGGAACTGTCGCTGTGCAGCAACCTTTTTATATCTTCCGTCTACGGGCCCACATAATTTGTGTGATTTTCCCCGCCGCAGCTTGACGTGAAGCAGGGCTGTTACATATCTCATGCAGGGAATGAATGGCACCAGCAGACCAGTGTGCTCTCTCGTAGGACATAGCTAGAGGTCGTAAAACCATAGATATTACTGTGGACCATCGGAGACCCTCCAGGCTGCCTTGGAGGCTCTGAAGTAAAGAGTGAATCTGTGGACCCGCAGTTTGCAGGTTCATACCCTAGCTGAGGTATCCGCAATTTGGCTGGAGGCCTATTGCACGGAAGGTGCTGACATCCAACGTCCTTGCTGCATGTGTACAGACCTCAAGTTGGTCTGAATTGACCACTTAGTCCTTTCCTGGGTCATGCTCAATGGTTTGGTGGACCCCGGAAGAGAAATATTTTTAGACTCTTTCGAATTGTGTTGTCCTTTAGAAAGCTAAAGAGGAGCCCATGTTTGGCTGCCAGTGTTGTCAAAGGAGTGCAGAAGAACAAACAAAAAACTGGTATGTCTTGATCCTACGGATAAAGTCGAGAGACACTGAATGTGCGGTGAAAGGACACATATTTCTCGCTTTACAACAAATTCCTAATTAAGGACGCTTAATTAGCCGGATTCGCTAAATTTGCCAACCAACCGTGTGGCAGCTTCTTTTCTTCTTTGTGCTTTTCTAATGTTACATTTCTCTCATAGAAACCAGCCCCATAACACTGGGCTAAAAGGGAGTGCTGGGGCAGTGATGCTCATGATTACCTGGGGGTGTGGGAGGGCAGTTTTGTTTGTGAACAGCTAGGGGATGGGTTCCTAAACCTTGTTTTTTGTAATACGGGGGGGTGTCCGAAAGATACCCTTGGGTGGTGCCCCAAGCTCAGAAATTTCCTCTCGCATACCCACTCCACAGTAACATGGTTTTCCAGTCTGAGCACTACTTCGGCAAATCTGAGTTACTCACAGAGGCACAACTACGTGCCAAACTCTATTTAGTGTTGTGCCTTATCGTTTACTTGGCCCATAGGCTACTGTACCGCCCTGCTGCATCAATACCAAGAGCTGGACTTGTTTCCTAGGTTGCCACCCAAGGCAGAGATCGAGGGGTTCCTCGAGATCGAAACGTTTGAGGTTCAATGAACAGTACTTTGTTTTCACCACTACTTGCCAAAAAGCAAACACTACAGCCATTGAGCACGTCGAAGGGAGACACATAACCATACCCCATATCACCGGTTTGGGGAGTGCCGTCCAAGTCGCGAGCAAGAGCGAAAGTTTCTCCTCCCCCTCTTCTCCAACTGCTCGGCTTATGCTCTTGCCCCCATACCTTCAATATCGGCCTTCATGTCGCGCTTCGCCTCCGTCGCTCCGACTGGCCCAAAGAGGTCTTGGCATCCGCTTTTTACCAAGCCGAAGCAAAACAAAGTTTGCAGACCGCAAGTTCGTCTGCTTCTTTTGCGGGGCTTGCGGTGATGTCAGACACCGAGCTCCGATTGAAGGATAGTGGGTAAACGTCGAGGCAGCTAGCTTAGATTTCTACCCACTATACTTCACTCGGATTTTGGCGTTCCGACGTCACCACGGCTCGTGCAAAAGAAGCGGATGAGCTTGCGCTCCGTATGGGGAGTGGGGCGACCTCTGGCGCAACAGTCGTTGCGACTCGCATGCCCCGCCATTGCAGCACCCCACGCCCCGTGGTGGTGGAGCCCCTGGAGCAGCGTGACGAGGACGATGGCCTCCCCGAGATGAACTTCCAGCCGGGCAACAAGCAGTTCCACAAGGAGCGGGAGGCCGGGCCCCGGCTGGCCGAGCCGGGCTCCTTCGAACATGAGTTTGCCATGCGGTGGAAGAAGCTGTACGAAGCCGAGCGGCTGCGCAAGGAGCAGCTGGAGCAGGACGTTCTCGGCTGCAGGCGCACCCTGGAGGACCAGATGGAGGTGTACCTGTACGAGCATGAGGCCAACATGCTCCGAGAGAGTGAGTCTCACCCCCCCCCCCCCCCCCCCTCTGTGTTCGCTCCATCGGTGCCGGATTCAAGATTGCTCTCGACGAGGGGCTGGCTTTGTTTAAATGCAGAGCTGCGAAGTAGCAAATTACGAGTATCTTGGGTTGCTGTATTTACCGTGCGAGCGAAAGGGATCGGTGGCCTTTTGAAGAGACCTTGAAAATTAGCTTCTTGACGTATCAAACTAAGATTTCGTGCGGATGCGGCAAAAGACTATGCATTTTGTGTATCGAAATTTATAAAAAATGAACTTGCCCGAATAAAGAGTGTAAAATTAAGAGTGTGAATTTGCTACCTATGGTGTCCGTCTTCTCAAAGGTTTCTGATTAGTGAAATAGTCTGTGCTGGGTCAAAGTTAGAAAATTTCCTCTTGCAGCAAACACTTCATTGCTGTACAATTTTACATGTATAACTGCTCCCGGAGACGAGTAAATGCGAGAAACTTTTTAGGCAACGCACAAATTAATTTTTTTAATCAACGTGTAAACGGGGGACAATGCATGTATCTACGGCTCATGGCTGTTCTATTCCTCAGCCTGGCACTGTCCTTGTAGTTCAGATGCCCCTTGTCATAACGGGTCATTAATTATTTTAGTGCCATGGAGCGCAGCCGGCGTTGTCTATGACTGCAAAAAAATGGCTCCTAACTTCGTTCCCAAACAGCAATTAAAAGAGAGGGTGGCGCGCGCACTAAATTCCTTCTCGAACGGCAGTTAAAATTGCTGCGATGCGTCATAGTTCCGGAGAACGTCACCCCACAGAAAAGCCCTCTTCCTGGTGCTGCGGCCTGCACGCCGGTAAAAGGAAGAGGGTGGCCGAGCTCTGCAAAGCCTGGCCAGGCTCAACGGGGCGCAGCTTTTAGGAATACGCTACACATATAAATGCTTTTGCATTCCTACACGTAAGCAGTCTTAAGTGTTCTCCTTTCATTTTTGTTTTGTTTCGGCAAACATCGCTGCTGAAGTCTAGACAGGCATTTGCAACTCGGACAGGCTGCAGTGCTACCAAACGCCATTTACTTTCTGTGTTCTGATCGGCTTGCGGCCGAAAAGTTATTTCCGGTGGCAAAACTCTGGTTTTGAGCCCATTCCGCTGACTTTTGATGCCTCGTGTCAAAATTTCATGAATTGTTTCCTTGACCCACAAGTGTTAAGGAGCCACAAAGCTGAACTACAGTGTGACACACTTTGTTGTTGCAGACTTTTTGTGTCTATTGATCTGGAGTGGATTGGTTGAGAGAGCGTTCTCGTGCTAGTTGTTCCTCGGCGACCTGTTGGCTATGCGTGGCTTATTGCCCCTTACTTTATTTGCATGCTCATGGAGGGCTGTTTCTTGCAGAGCTGCGAAGAATGGAGGAACAGAGCACCCTGATGGCCAGGGAGCGCGAGATGAGGTGCGTGCATGCATGATTACGTCATAGGCTTGACCTTCAAGGTTCACATGTGCTCATCTGTTTCACCCCAAAAAAGAAAAACTTGATTAGCACCCTGAGTGCTGTTCTTGAAAGGTGTTGCACTCCAAGAGTGACCTTGCATAGATTACAAGCCAAACAATGTAATTTTACGAAAAAGAAAAAGGATGTCTGGAGGCAAAGACAACAGCATTGCAAGAAGCCGATTCTGCAGCCATCGCTTAGTGATTGTGTGCTACTGAAGAATGTAATGGAGGGATGGAAATGCCATTATTTCTTCCCGCTCTTCGTTTTGCTCTGAAGTGGACGGCCAAAGTGAAAACTCATGCTTTATAATATCTCGTGCACTTACAGTAGATTCTCGATCATGGTTCATCCGAAGTTCGGGATGATACAAATTTTTCAAAATCCCCGGCCAAGTTCCTTAAGACTAATGTATTATGTTTTGGGATAGTCCGAATGGTTCATCCAGCCGCGGTGGATCATACGAACATTGATTGACAACGTTTACACATCTCTTAGGGCGGCATCATTCGGGTCCGACAACTGCAGCCGCCGTTTTTGCGTTATTTTTCTTACCGTTCTTTCTACATGCACGCCGCAATCATAATAACCGCGGCTGCATTAAAAAACTCTAAAACATACCCACGTCCACCGTTGCTACACTATCTGTGTTGTCACGTGATTCGAATTCGGATTGCTGGAGTAGCTCGCATTCACCTACTCCAGGGTTGCTGCTTTATTTTTATTGTCACGTGATAAACGGGTTTTAGCAACTCTCAGTCACTCCAGTGAGCACGAGAAACGACGTTCCGAATCGGCGTTGATGACGTCAATGTCAACAAGCAAGTATCCTTTGTTTGCACGCGCATGTGCACATCTGTAGAACTCCGTGCGATTTTCATCAACGAATTTTCGGAAGGATATCCCTCATCCTGCCTCGTCGGTCCAGCGTGAGATTGATTTAACATGTCTCGCAAGAGAAAATCGCTGTCCTTCGAAGAAAAGCTGGAAGTTCTGAAAAAGGTGGCCGAGGACCCTAAAAGAAAGCGCAAGGATTTGGCAGAGGAGTTTTGGAATGTTTTTACACATTCTAAAACTGTCTGCTGGGTGTTATTGAAAAAAAGAAAATTCAGAAGAACATTACTGACTTCTTTGGCCGGGAATGTGACCAATTAACGGCAAGTAGCCCCCACTATGTACTTATCTGTCTTGTTTTTCGTTCATATGAATTTCGGATTATACAAATATTTTCCGTGATCCCGCGAGATTCGTATCATTGAGATTATACTGTATTCATCTTGGGAGGTGCTCCACCGTTGACTTCCACAGCAGTGTCATACCTTGAGCTGATAAGCACGTGAGGCTTTCATGCGAATTGCATACAGTGTCTGTGCAAAGTTTAGGTAATAATGCAAAAAATGTTTATTTTAAAAAACAATTTGTGCTGCGTTGTAGAGGAATGGCCCGTTTCAAATGAGGGGGGACACCGTTTTTGACACTAAAAATAATTGTCAGAAATACAAATGTATAGCTCCGACTTTCCTTCTTTATTTCACACGCAGAGGTTATCGGGATAGATTGAAGGGGCAATTACTAGGCTAAATATTTTTTCCATTTACACCCAGTCTTAGATGCCGTTGCAATGTCGTTCCAAGAGTTTGGGAAGTTGATTGTGGAAACAAAATTTGTGGCAGCAAAATTAACCTGGATTTTTAATTTTGTATGTTTATGGTGGCAACTCAACTGAGTCTCTGCATCTCAAGCGGCCTAATTACTGCTGCTAAACTCTACTGGACTTTGAGCTTGTTTTTTTATGGTGCCAACTTAAACAAGGTTTTGTATGTTTTCTTTTTTTTTTTTCTATTAATTAAGGCAATCAAACATTGTGGCACATTTCTCTGTGAAGTACATCTGAGAAAGGTGGCGTGTCACGTTTGGTCTCACTTTTAATTGGAAAAAACGCTACGCTCCATAGTAATTTTGTGTTTTCTAAGATGCTCGCCTTGCATAGACTGAATTTGCACCAGAAAAAGACGATCCCAATAACCGCATCATAGTCACTGATGAGATGCGAATGGCATCTCATCAAGGCTCGCAAGATGACGGGGCGTCGTCGAAGCTAGGAAGCTTGCTCTGGAGACGGGACAACCGAGACTCCTCCCTGTTGTCCTCATCATGTCGGCAACAATGGTTCTCCCTTAAAGGGATACTTCAACGAAATTTGAAATATTCCCGTCGTGTTCAAAAATAGGTTGAATATCATCCACAATATCCGTGAATGACAACCGCACGTTTGTATTTTGAGTCTAGTGGCTGTATTTTTCGTGGCACTCTGGCAAGCGCTCGGAGAAGGCCCAGCGGAGACCACGTGACATCCAACGAAATCGTGACGTAGGTCGTCTCAAGATGAGCAAAGCTACGGCGAGGCTGACGTCAAGAGGATGGCCTAGTCGTACCAGCCACCGAAGCGGCTGCTTTCGTACGAATCCTGAGTGACGGGATAATCTTCTGTAATCTTGTAGGGCAATAGCGACTTCTGCGACACACAAAAGACATTTTCGGGAAGAGGGGGGGTTCCCTCTGCCCCTCTTCTCTCGTCGTGGCCGGATGCAAGACAACCTCCGTCACTAGCTGTCAAGGTTCCTAGACGGGCATTACAAGCGAGGCATTAGCAACATCCACCAGGTGCTCTTCGTTAATCGTTTAATTCGTTTTAAAATTCCTTTTCGTGACTTTTTTAACAGGATATTGGTATGTTCGATGTGATGCAGCTCCTATGAACACATAGAGACCAAAAAATGAGCGCTGAAATTTCGTTGTAGTATCCCTTTAAAGGGACTATGAAATGAATTTTGGGCTTGCACAAATGATATTAGATTGGATTTTATTTACTAATCGCGGACCTTCGTTTCTTTAAAAGCTCTCCGCCTTTTCACCGCAGTTAATCCGCGGTGCCCCAGCACGTCGGCTGAACCCAGCTCGCAGATCGACCACCGCGCCGCTCGGGCGCATGGCTCGTCGATTGTCAATTCGCTGACGAATACTGTAAACGACAATTTTTGCGAGGACCTAATTTTTGCGAATTGCCTACAATTTGCAAAAAATGGGTCCCGCAAACATTTACGGTAAAATGTCAACACATTGGAGTCTATATTGAGATCCCACCACGCCGCAAATATTAGAACCCACGAATTATTTCAAAACTTCAGCTTGGACCAAAATCGCAAAATATTGAGCTTGCGAGCAAAATAAGTCATTTACAGTGTTTCGTTTGCGTTCGTGGCCATCGGGTGCTGTGACGGCACTACTCATCTCTCGCAATTGACAAGTCCCACAATGTGCTTGAGAAGCACAGTGGAAGCTCGGAGTCGTTTTGAGTTGAGGATTAAAGCTGAAAAGGGGGGAGTATAAAAATCATTTCATGGTCCCTCTGAGTTGCCCGGTAACCAGTCTATAGTCACTGATAGAGTGAGAACGGTGAAGCACGTCTTTCAAGCGCCCGGTCTCCAGCACTTGCCCAAGGTTCACGAGATGCGTTGGCGAAGGTGGGAAGCTTGCGGTGGTGGCGGGACCGTAATGGGAAATGATGCTAATATGGCGTCTGTTGCTGCGCCAGGAGGGAGGAGGAGCGGCGGCGCGAGGAAGAGCGGCGCCGCCGGGAGGAGGCGCTCTACCAGCAGCAGCGCCAGCGAGAAGAGGAGGAGCTGCTTGCCCGGCGCCGTCAGGAGGAGGAGTTTCGGGGTGCCCCGCCCCCTCCCCCACCACCGGGGCTCCTGGCCATGGGCGGGTGGGACAGCTCCGCCCCTCGTGCTGCCCCCAACATAGGAGGTTTCTGGCCGTTCCATAGCCCCTCTCTTGCCGAACTGCTTTGCGAATACTGTAAACGACTCGATTTTTGCGAATTTCAGGACAAATATTATATGGTTACGTAAAACTGCAAAATTTTATTCCCAAGACCTGTGCTTCAAAAAGTTCTAGAGATATTGAAATCGCGAAAATAGGGTCGTTTAGAGTAGACCTTTTGCTAATCTGCCCGACAAGCATGCTGCAAGTGTAGTTACAGGTCCTGCACGTGCTGGTGTCCACAACAATAGCTGTTCTAAAGCAAGTATTTGAAACAAATGACATTTTACCAGTGTATTCATCAGCAATATCAATATTTTATAATTTAAATGCAGAGACAAGCTTTAGATTATGAAGTTTCCTTTCGGTTTTGCAAAAGTGTGCAGCGTGTGCACCTATATTCTCGGCGTTCTGCTTGGTACTTGAGTAATTTGGCAAAGTTTCCTTACTTAAAAGGACATTAAACTACCCCAAAACCTGTTTAAAAAGCTCCTGAAAAGAAAAAGAGTTTTTTTTTTTTTCAAACAGTCTGGTTGGGACATTTGTGTCAAAGAACTAATTTGACGCGAAAAAACATTTTCTTTAGAGCAGTATTGACGGCGTGGGACAAGAGTTAGTCGGTCGTCACCTCCTTTCTTCTTGTTTTCTCGGCATTTCGGGCACGTGGAGGAGAGGTGGATCGGCTTGGCCATCACAATGGGGTGGAGAGAGTGTATCACCATCTCGTAGAGGTGGAAAGAGCATACAACCATTCTGTGACATCATTGACTTTGCTCGCAGAATTAAAAATAAACTTCGCACCGTCAATATTGCTCTAAAAAAATTTTTTTTCGCATGAAATTTATTTTTGGACACGCGTGTCCCAACCGGACTGTTCTTCTTTCTTTTTTTTTTTTTCAGGGGCGCTTTAGGTGTGTGCTTGTTATGCCATAAAATAGCCATCTCAAAAGGAGAGAAAGTTTAGCATAGTTTTTATGCTGCAGGGTTCATTATTGAGTTGCAGGCAATTCAAAAAAAAAAAAGTGGCAATACATTTTTTTTTTTTTTTTCAAGTGGGGGACGGGAGGGAGGGGGTTGTGTTCTGACACATGTGAACCATCAAGGCACCATAAAGAAAAATGTTTTCTGGGAGCTCAGTGTGTCTTTAAAGTGCCTGTGTCGCACCCGTAAAGATGTTTGATTTGAAAGTATGGGCTGGTTTGCTAGAAGCAGTGTCTCAGTTGAGACTGCTCAAAGAAAGCGCTGCCAAGGCTCGGGCACGCGAGCGTCTGAGACTCGGCTTAAGCTCGAGCGCTAGCCTTGACAGCGCTTTCTTTGAGCAGTCTCAACTGAGACTGCTTCGAGCAAGCCGACCCACATGTCTTAGATCTTCTCTAACATTTAGGATTCTGTGTCCTCATAGCACGCGACCGAGGAAAAGAAACTGCAGCCCCGAGCATTTGATTCTCTACGATGGCATTTGTGCAAGAGAGAACCTGATTTTGAGCTGCAGTTCTCTTTTGCTGGAGACGTGGGTCGAAAAGTCGCAATTTTCTGAAAAAATTTCACTTTTTCTTTTTTGTTGCATTGCCGACCTTGGACTATAACCTTCCATTTCTGAAAATATCAAGCTGAAAATCGCACAAGAAAATATCTAAAAATGCGTCCAAGTGAGCAGTGGTGACGTGAGAACCGGGCAAAAGTTGCGAAAATTTGTGTGGTTTGCGTCCTTCTGCCGCAAAAGTAACGCGGCACCCGCCATTTCTCATGCGGCGGCAGCCGTCTCCTCCGCTCAATAGTAAAATATGGCTGCTGTGCCCAAAAACCAAGTTCGCCTCCAGGACTACTGTGGAGACGGCCACAGCGATTGCTGTACTTTGGTACAACAAAGGCCATACAGGCTTTGAAAGAGTGCTGGAAGAGATTGGAGTACTTCCTTCTGAAGATTTGGTCATGCATGGTGACCATTGCGATCAAATGCGCATCAAGAAAATGAACACCAAGCAAACAGTGGAAGCCAGGGCACATCATCGCAGCACAGTGAAGAGGGCCCGGAGTGAGGGAACAACCCGCAAGAGCCAGGAGGGACAAAGTTATTGTGCTGGAGGGTTTTAGAAACTTGTCAGTGCATTTTGCCATTGTGGCCAGATTTTATGCAAATAGAGTGGCATTTCAATGAATAGAAACTTTCAAACTTGTTTTTCTCATTTTCACGTTTTTTGAAAATTTCACGTTTTCCGGGCAGCCTTTTGTGAACTTATAGTTAACCTATAGTAACGAAATTTGGTACACATGTTCTTCAAGACATGTAGAGGGCTGATATCTAATTGAAACTGAATTTTCTATCAGCATTAGTTATGAAACTTCTTATTTATTGTTTCAAGGTAGACTGAAAATAATTAGGTACAGAGCACAAACTTTTTTTGCATAGTTCTAGTATTTTTGTGCAAAGTGTGGCTAGATATCAGCACTCTGCAATCTCTGAAGGGTCAAATAAGAAACAGCACGATACTTTTCTTGTAAATTTAGAATATCAAAACCTTCCCGGAAAAAGTGCTCTTTTTTTTGCATTTTGTATCTCATAACTCGATAACTATAGTAGCTAGGTGAAAACTAAATACATATTTGAAATCTGCATGAAAAACTACACCAAGGGCTGAATTTTTATGTCTCTAGTTAAAGAAATAAAAAAAAAGTTGTTTCGGGGAGCGTATCCCCTTAATTAGGCATTTGTTACTCTGAAATTCTAGGCAAGCATTATTAATAGTGGAGCCATGCTTTTTATGGGGGACAGGGAGCGTGTAGGATTGGTCAGTGGTAACACTTAAATGGACGCTCGCATCTCTCAATTAGCAACATCAATGTTAAGGAAACAAACAAGTATAGGATTATCTCTCCCCAATGGATAATCCCACTCAGTTGGGCGGGCCCATTTCATGGTCGTGTCCACCGTCACTTGACCCGAATAGTACCGTTGAGTGGCAGGGTAATGCTACGAATTCGTCCATAGCAGTGCAATGTTGAGTTGAATGCACATAGGAAACAGCAGCAGTGCATTAATGTTTTTTTTTACTTGTGCCAATGTCTTTCAGCTTACGAAGGAGGCTACCGCGACGGGCTGCCACCTGGCGCAGCCACCGGCGTGGTGAGTTGACGGTCGCTGCATTCTTTGTTACTTTGCGCCTCCTACTCAGAATTGGTGGCGGCTTCGCACCGGGGGCGCAGCAACAGACACGATGACAGAACCCTTTGACGACACAGTCTCGAGGCATATTTCAGGTCTCACGCCAACCTCGAGAAGCTGAGAGCATGTCGTGCTTGCTTGCCTAATGACGCTGCATGCTCAGCTAACCCTGCATGATTGGAACATTGTCTTAGGTTCTTGTGCTACCTGTGCATATCGCGCTCCTTTTTTTTTTTTTTTTTTTTTTAATGTTTATTTGCATGTTTGATTGATGCAAGACTTGAGTTGTGCCAACTGCGAGTGATTGGAATGTGCATGTTTCTGGTGTAGCCATTAATTTCTGCCTAATATCTCTATCGTTAAAAACGAAAGAAAAGAAAGCGAGCTTGTGAAATTCCAAAAGGTTTCGGCGGCTGTGACAAAAATTGTGACAGGCACCGTAAAAGAGGATGTGGGTAGTCGTCTGAGCTGAGGCTACAAGTCATTGCTGTGGTAGAGAGCAGCCTCTGGCTCAGAGGCCGTATCCTGTTTCTTCTAGGCCTTGTATCTCGCTGCCCTGGAGTCGGGCCGTTAGCTTTGCAACAGCACGACCAAGGAGCGAACAGGGAACCGACGACAGCAACTTATTGTCGAAAGAGGGCTGCTGCAGCATGTGCGTATTGCGGGTTGAGGTGGCTGCCCCCTTGCCGGGACAGTCTTAACATTTAATGGTAACGGACACATTGTAAAAAGACTCTCGAAGGAGTGTGCGTCGATGCAAAAGTGCCAGCGTCGGAAGACGCAACCTCTGCTAGTGTCAAGAAGTTGCTTTTGAAGAGCATTTACAATGTTTATCTCGACCTCCGAATCTGGGAAGCGTTTGACGTGTTGCAACCTGTGTGCTTCGCCTGTTTCCTGCAGATTGCGTCCGTGCTCCATTTTCTATATGCTCTTTGCTCTCGTTATTAAGTTTTGGGAGGGGGGGGGGGGGGAGGGAATGTGCGAACACAGTATGACAAGGTTGAGGTGGAATGGTTTGTAATGGTCCGGCATCACTTTTGTGAAGTGCCTTCTGCGGAAGGTTCACTTGCATACCACGAAACCCTTGTGGTGGGCCTGTGATTCAAATCGGCTTGGTCACCACGTCACCAATTGAGTGGGATTGGTGTTTCCCTTAGTATCTATAGGCTATCTTATAGGGGTATCTTTAAGCAGTCACTTGTACAATGTCACCCTTGTGACATTGATGGTCTTTCCTACAGGAAAGGCTTTGAAAGTCTCGTAATATTTGGAAGTTCTGAATATTTGGAAGTTCTGTAATATGCTTGCATGCTTATTTCTGTCTTGCTGGCTGCTCACTTACTCCATGCTCTTTGTACTAATTTTTTCATGTCTTTGTCTTTTCATCTGCATGTAGATTTATGCTCCAATGTGCACTGATAGTGTGAACCATGTCTTTCAATAGTGATGCATCACACTACCGTACAATAAACGAAAACTGTATTGCACTTAATTTTGTCATTGTCAGACGTAGACTGAAGAGGAGTCACATTTTTAGAAGGCCGTCTGTCGCTATTTGACACTTGTCTGTTGTGACCTGAATGAAGGCCACCTACTGGTGATGTATCTTTTACCCCAGTGGTCCTCAACCACTGATGTTTTGGAGACCCCTTCTGGATAAGTGGAAATGATGGGGGATTCCATCCAAAGGGAGGAGGGTGGATAATAGACAATTACAATGACAAAGGGGTAAATAAAAATAAATCATGCAAGCCAACTTTTAAGGTCTGAAACATAGACTAATCAGCCCTACTCATTCACTGCACAAACACAAGAATCGGCATCAATTTTAAAAGTATATATATTTTATTGCTCGGTTGAGGGATTTGGGAACCCTAAGAAAACCTTCGGGAACCCCAAAGGGTTTGCGGACCTCCGTTTGTGGACCACTGCTCTACCCACTGGATGAGTGCTATGCTGGACAGATAACTGGGGTTGGGGAAGTCTTAGCTGAAGACGCAAATGCATCAGTGAGGTTCACCCAAGCTTGTCAGTGGACCAAATTCTTTGAAGGTAAACTCGAGAGTATCCTGGGACAAGATTGACACTTAATGGACGGCACAAAATTAAAGTAAGTGAGGACACCTTTGCTGCCCTTGGGTCCTGATATACAAAGTCTCCAGGAATGAGGCAGGGGTGAATGTGGTGGTTGAATGAAGGTTAATGAAAAGATATTTTCCCAAAGGCATCTCAACATGGTATGCCCATGGAATTCGCCACGCAATGCTAAAGATTCAGTCACCAACATCAAAATCAAAAGTCTGAAGTGAGATGGCCATAGCCCTTTGCGGAGCACTGAGATACGAGGTGCACCAATTCAAAAATCTGAAAAATAGTTTTTTTAGGTCGATAGATTGGCAATAACTGAAGGGTTGTCCAAGGTGAACAGATGGAGCTGCAGATCCGCTCGACTTGTCCACCCTTGACTGTTCAAAAAAGTACCTTTAGTTGCACAGCAGTGTGCATGTTTTTGGTAATCTCGGAAAGATTCTTACACTAGTATGTTGGAAATGCCAAGGTTTTGCTTGCAAACTTTGGTATTTTATTGATATTGGCTCGTGTAATCTCCATACGATGAATCTACCGCCAAAACACCCTTTGCGCAACACCTGTACGGTCCTGCATTCAACCTCCAATTCACGAGGATTGTTTCGTGTGCAACTCGTTGCTCCAGGCACATCACGGTTCCCGTCTCCCAATTTACCTTTGCCGGTCATCCTACAGTGCACTCGGGGTGGAATTTATTGGCACGTCTCATTTGTGACTGCGGAGGCCAGGAAGGACCTCGCATTTATTGAGCCGTCGGCGTTGTACAGAGGAACACTTGCCGAACGGACCACTGAGTCTGTCTATAGTCACCGACAAATAAAAAATGACGGTGGGGTCATCTTTTTCTTTTTTTCTGAACGCCCAACCTTTAGCACGCACTCACTGCATTTTGTGTGGCCTTGGCTGCACACACGCTCAGGGTGAACAGTACGCTGAAGCGTTGTTGAAGGTGAAAAGGTGGAAAAACTGAAACTCCTCCCTGCCCTACCCACCTTGTCAGCGACGATAGCGCCATCGCACACTTGTTAGTGCCTGTCCCTCTGCACTTGCATGTGCAAGCTAATAAGCAGTGTGCAGATTTGTGGAGTTTGCCTTGCTTGGCATGGCTACCCTTGCTTTGCTGAACAGCTTGCTTCTCTTCCCAAAGGGTGTTCATCCAGAAAGCGAAAAGTGGAAGGACAAGTTTACTAGAGTGCTCGTTACTTCTTCTGGATAAAGCATGAGCATATTTGTTGTGTCCGTTCTCAAATGTTGTGTGGGTCAGACTTCTGCCCAAGAGTCAATACGAGAGTCGAATTTTTCGCTGAAGCAAGAGGTCTGTAGATATTTGAAGCTTTGAATAGTTCACGAATGTGTTTGCCACTCAATTAAATTCACAGTGCTCTTTTACTGTAAATTATTAAGTTTTTGGAACTTTCTAAATTACAAATAATATCTTCAAAATTCCTTGATTTCCTTTCTCAAACTCCACCGCTTTGCACCGGCGTGGTAGAAGAACCGGCTGATATGTTGGGGCATCTTGTTGACTCTAAAATTTGGCTAATTTTGTATGTCAACCCTCCTTTAGAGGAGTCTTTTCTTGAAAAAAAAAATTTCCAGCTATGGTCATAAATATAAGATATTTGGATTTGATGATTAGCAGTCTAATATTAATATTCATATTAGATTCACTGTCAAAAATTTTATATTCATACACCTCTAGCTGAATTCCACAAGTTAGCCCTGTCAAAAGAATCATCCTGGGCCAGCCAAACCGAACCTTTCGCCTATAAAAGAAAATGTCATCCTTTTCAGAGACAATGTAGACTAAGCTGTAAAATTGCACTCAGTTAGAAGTCATCATTGATAGAATAAACAGAGAACCACCTCTACTTCGTATTTCTTGGCGTGCTTGTCTTGTTATAACTCTGCTTGCGTCAACTTTGCTTCAATTTGGAAACCCTAGTCAATCTTCATAATGCCAGAAAAACCAGTACAGTAAAACTTCTAGCTGGTAGTCTCATATAGCACAAATTTCAATTGGTGAAACTGATTTTACTTACAACATTCAATTTAGCTACGCCTCTACCAACTGCACCACATGCACACTGTTGTATTCAATGTAAGAGTGCATCCTATTTTAAAACGCACACTGGAAGTGCATTGCCCTGCTCCTCTCCACGCCACGCTACACTTTTCTGCACCGGTGTAGATTGGTGCAGGTAAATCGTAAGAGCCAACTGTAGAGAAGTTCCTGCAGCACTAACAGCCTGTTCACACAGCATCGTTTGCTTCCGTCGTCGGAAGTTGCCGAGACATCCGTGCTTCGAATGAAGCGTGGCAGTCAATTCAAGGGCTAGCTTTGCATGTGGCACGCGGAACACGGACGTCCTGGTGAGTCGTAATGTAATGTGAGACAGGAGACACGTGAGTGATAAAAGCGGGCGCTGTGCGACAGTATTGTAGCAACTGGTGCTGGCGTCCCTACGTCACTTCAGTGCAGTGCTCCGATCTGGTCGACAAAATAATGCCGCACGGTACGCCTGTGATGCACCTAACGGCGAGTGCCGCGCGGCACCCAGTTTCACTGCTCATGTGTTCCACTACCTGGGAATGTCAACTTTTGAACCGCTCACTCAAGCGGCGCGGTATTTGCAGGTGGTATTTGTAGCCATAGAGAAGGAGGGCATGCAAAGTTTCAGCCCTGTGAACCAGTTTTATGAGGTGCTATACCCCCCAGAACGAAGTAAAGCACGGAATCTGCTGACTGGATCTATCGTTGAGAAATGGTGTTGATAACCACATAATTTTCTGGTGGAATGCCTACTTGAATGCCTGTTGCCGGTTACTATGAAAAGAAATTTCAGACAATATGCAATTTTCAGGTTAATAAGTGTATGAGAAAAAATTTTTTCACATTTACTAAGTTTTGCAAATTACTATTTTTCGTAATAAAGGAGCATAAAAATAAAAAAATCTAAGTTTGTGACTGTTTCTATAAAATTTCTATATATAAGCTGCAAAAATTAAGTTTCGATAGTTTAACCCTGCAATGATAGGTTTTATTAAGTGAAATTTATGCCAAAAAGTGGAACGGAGAAAATTGCCTTCAATGTGCTCGAACCTCAACTTTTTCTGAAGCATCGGTGGACTGAAAAGAATTTATATTAAATAACTATGCAGTGTAAACAAATGAAACTTTCTAGGTATTCTCACTAGATGTTGGCAGATGTATGGCATTTTTCAAAATCAACTTTTCTTTACAGAAATTTTTTTCCCTGGGTAGTGTCCCCCCTTATTAAGTTGCTGAAGGCCCTTGTTGTTTTGCTTGGCTTGGCCAGCGCTCTTACCGTGGTGGACGGCCCCCTGGGGTCCGGCCAGCGGCAGTCTCGCTTCGAGCAGGGTCACCCCGGAGTGGGCAGTCCGGGCCAGCAGCAGCCGCAGCCTCAGGGTCCCCCCGGGGCGATGAATGGGCAGCGCAGCGCCCCCGTGGGCATCCGCGACATGATGATGCGCCGGGACGCCCTGGACCGTGGCGACTACGACGTCGACGCCAAGCGGGCCCGCAGATACTGAAGGCGCCACATCCTTTCCGGCGTCGTCTGCTGGTGCACCCACATCAATGTCTGTGCTGTCCTCCGTCTCGTGTACACAATAAAGAGGCACCACTGGTGCAGTCGACGTGGAAGCTCAGTTTCATTCGCCACTTGTGTCTGGTCGCATTTGTTGGCGCAGCGTGGTCTATGTTGTATTTTACACCGATAAACATGTTACGAGTTGATAAGCTCCCCCAATGAAGCCCTCGACCTTTCCACCTTAGCAAAGAAGGAAGCCATCAGTCGTGGCAAGTAGAGAGCTTTGTAGGGGGAACTTGTCATGCTTTTCTTATCCTGAAATGAACTAATCGTCACTAGCCTGTGGCAAGCTTGGAAAAAGAAACCTCCGGACTGAAGGTCCGGAGGTTTCTTTTTCGGAATTTTGGAATGCTTTGAAGAAGCATTCTAAAATTGCTCCAGATCTACTAAATATTGTAGAATGGTTAACTCTCTGGAACGAGCTAACCTTGATGGTGTCTTCAGTATGGGCTCACTCTGCTTTGAGTATACATCCTGGCTGACTTGGACATGCAGGCAGACTGTTTCTCGTGGCAAAATCTTCTATTGGTTATTGGCCGACACTAAAGCTTTCGTGCTTGCGTGTTTATAAAGGTATCGAAATAATTCTAAAGCCACTTCAAACCTAGTTCTTCTCTAACAAAATGCGGGCTAAGTTCCTGGGGATTTCTGGATATTCCCTTTCGAGCGACCATGTTCAGCCTGAGCTGGCTTCCTGCTTTGTTGCTTGGTAGACGAAGTATTAAGGAAGTTGATGCTGCATTCTGAAAGTTGGTAAGTAGACTATAAATAGGTTTTCTTCAGTGTTTCGTGAGTTTCATTATAATGATCAAAGCTTATGCTGCTTCCCTGGTAATCATACTCCAATCGGTGTACGCGTATTCTTTTAGTTGCTTTTTACAATGACAGCTCCAGTTGGTAGAAAACCTCGCGTAGGGGAGGAAAGGGAGCGTGGGACTGCAGAGCAGTTCTCGTCCCTGCTTGTGGTAAATTTTCTTCTTGAGACCTAAGTGAGATCTATGGATGCACAACAGAAAGAAAAACCCGAAACTACAACTGCTGCACAGCCTTGAACTGGCACAGGCTCACTCAAAACGGGACACTGATTTTTGAGTAATAAACAATAAAGCTCCGATGTGCCCTCATTTTATCCCAGCTGATAAGCGCCCATGGTTTGCACACGAAAAGCGCGAACACCAGCGTAAACTCACGTCAGACGCCTCCTCTGGTCCGGCAACGCTGGCACCGCCATGGGGGACAACAGAGAAGATGGCGGAAGACGTGAAGGAAAGCGAGGCAGCGACTCGGCTCCTGTGTCCGCCAGCTCTCGAGGAAAGTGCGTCCGCCTCACGACTCGTGCCCTGGGAGAACTTTTCAAACTGGGTCCACTGCATCTGTGTTGTGGCCTTCGATCTCGAACTGGGCCAAGCGTTAGAGGTACGCGCGGTGGTGATCACCCCGACGGAGAGCGTTCCGCAGCGGCTGCTCCGGCTCTCACGGCGATCTCTTGTTGATTGTTGGTGCGCGGGCGATCAGTCCGAAATCTACCATGCGCGTGTGCTTCCTTTCAGGTGGTGCTCCCGAACGATGTACCGCTCTCAGAAAAAGAGGTGAGCTAGCACGACCTCCCGATCGGCGCCGTGGGTCCTTTCAATTGACGGGCACGTTGTTTCACTCTTTTTTGTTTTGTTTTTGAAGGCTACTACCGCTAAAACGACCACACTGATCGGCATCACGTCATAGTTATGATGGCAAGACCCGCATACGGGATCAATTGGCTGGCGGCACTTTTTCTCGGAAACTCGTTTTACGCAGCTGATGGTGTTACTGGCCTTTCTGTAACTGAACAAAAAAAAAAAAAAAATAATTTGATTAGTGATTTTCACGAGCACTGTTCAAGAGCTGGGAATTTTCCACCTTGTCGTTAGCAGGACGGTCTACAAATCGCGCGTATTCAAGCCTTGATGCTCTTTAGGCTGTGACATCAAAAACAAGCAGAGCGTAACAATTAGGCTCTTTTGAAACGCCTCCTTCCCTTCTCCTCTGAAGGAAATGAATGAAGTCTGAGAGCTTATTCTTCTGATCTTGATATTGTCTATTTAATTTTGCTACATTTCACTCATATTGCGACTCACTCATTGTCTCAGCTGCAGGAACAATATATTGATGTTAGTAAATGTATTGAAGCACTGATCACTTCTCCATACCATTGAGGCTGTTGGCCTCACTTATTTAACTAGGATTAACCACTTTCATAAGCCTGAGATGGGGGGGGGGGGGGGGGGGGGGGGGGTTCACTTCGAAGTACACATGGTTCCTGGGAGCTTCTATCTGCTGCCTTGACTGGTTCTACAGGGTCCGATCGAGAAAAGTAAACCCTACTTTTCGGCCCGCATAAAAAAACTGCATCACAGAACGCTCAAACTCCGCCAGAATGTAACCCTAGCGGTCCAAGCAAGATGCAAAAGTTTCAGAACATGAGCTTACCTGGATCAAAAGATAAAAGAAAAAAGCGAGAAATCTCTACGAGAAGGCTCCGACCACGGAGAGGCGCAGACGGAGGCCGTCTGCTTCGCGTTGCATCGCATAGGTGGCGCCACCACCTATGCGGGTTGGTGGGTTATCACGGGCAGCTGCCGGGCTTGGCGGCAAATTCGGCATTGTTCTCTATCATTTCTGAAGTTTCACTTACTCACTGCTTTTCACTGCAACGGAAATAATGATTACACGCTCTAATCTGTGATACTTCGGTGCATTTGCTCAAGCATAACATTTCTTCATGCTAATTATTTTAGGAGATGTCGTCTGCTTTGCTCTTCGCAAACCCGAACACCGGTGGTGGCGCCACCTATGCGATGCAACGTAAAGCAGACGGCCTCCGTCTGCGTCTCTCTGTGGTCGGAGCCTCCCCGTAGAGATTTCTTGTTTTTTTCTTTTATCTTTTGATCCAGGTAAGCTCATGTTCTGAAACTTTGGCATCTTGCTTGGACCGCTAGGGTTACATTCTGGTGGAGTTTGAGCGTTCTGCGATGCATAGTTTTTTTATGCGGGCCGAAAAGTAGGGTTTACTTTTCTCGATCGGACCCTGTAGATCAGAGGTCTCAAACACCGCATGCGGCCCGCGACTCGCTGGGACTCGGCCCGCAGACAATCACTGGCTATGAGTTCCGGTTTCCATGTCTCGAGCGCTAGAAAAAGCATGCACCGTAGTTATCTCATCTCGCCGATTCCTTTTCGCTCGAAAAGTAGCTCTGCTCTTTTTTAACATGTTCACCAAGTTTATACTTTCTGTGTGCATTTTTGTGCTTTCTTTTTTTTTTTTTTTTGCTTCCCAGCTTTTTGTAATGTATAACAATTCTGCTACTAGGCTGCAAGCGCAAGCACTTCATTGTAGGGCTGTGTTGAAGGATTCATCTCGGCTGCGCAAACTCTCGATCAGTAGGAGCAACTTCCAAAAATAAAGCTACAAATTCGGAAATCTCACCTTAAAAAAACAAAAAAAAAAAGAATGTCACCATTAAAAAATAAGTATTTGTCCGGGATGTTGTAATAAAAATAGCCAGAAAAACAAAACCTATCTAATTAACTGAATGTCTTTTTAAAGACATATTCAGCTTGCTTAATTCCTGAGTGAATTGAGCAACGGTAATGACAGTGTGCTTGCTCTTTTGTTGATTAAGAATGCCAGCCCGTTGGCAGGGCAGTGTCATTTTAATTCTTGGTATCACATCAGGTCAGGGCCTCAGTAACCCCCCCCCCCCCCCCCCCGCCCCCCCCCGTCTTACGTTGGCCTTCAGCCTTCCCGGTGTGGACTCTCTGGCCCCCACACTCAAATGAGTTTGAGACCACTGCTGTAGATTGTCTGGATCGATTCTAGGTGAGAGTGAATACGGCCTGAGAGTAAGTATGGTCACGGTATCACTTGAACAGTATACTTTCTGAGGCTTAAACATAAAAGGACGGCAAGAAAGATGAGCTGTCTGTGTTCTTTTTAAGCTTTTATGTTTAATTATTTCTTTGGTTTTTGAGCGATATAATCCAAGGATAATTAAGTCACCCGGGCAATCGGGTATTCCAGGATTGCACTGGCAAAAGATTTTTCATACTATGTTTTGATTTCTTCTGATTGTAATTTTTGGTTTCTCTGCGTGATGTTGAATGCTTTCTCATTTTCCTTTTGTGATCCCCCCTCCCCCCTCTAGCTGTCTTTCTGCTCTTACTCTTCAGTGGGACAGATTTGCCAGGTCACTCTTGTCACCAGCACTGCAGCAAGCTTTGGGGGCAGAGCCAATTAAGGAATAACTGAGCATATAAAAATGTTTCATACAAAAGCAAAGTTTTCCTACAAAGCTTTTATATGAAACAAAACATTTCCAGGCACACATTCCAATCCCAAATCCTACAAAATCCCCAAAAAATGAAGATTGAGAGAGAAAAAAAAATTCTGGGGCTAGGGAAATAGTGAAAGGGAACAAACAAACAGGGTTGTTTGTCCTTTTGTGGATCTTTCTCAGTGACATACTCTTTTTTTTGTTTTCCAAGATTCTAAAGTTGGGCAGAGTTCCCCTTCCACGCAAATCAAAGCACACAAGGTGGGGGGAGGTCGTCCGCTAAAAGTCCGATGTCCATCATTGCAGAAAACGAGCATCTGCTACCTGGCCTTCCCGGACTCCAACTCGGGCTGCATGGGGGACACGCAGTTCCAGTTCCGGATCCGGCAGTGCCCGCTGCCGCAGCGGCCCCTGAGCCCCGCGCTAGTGGCCTACAATGCGGCCGTGGCCACTGCCTTACAGGTGGACCCCGTCTACTTCCACGGCTACGTTTATTTCCGGCAGGTGAAGGACCCCAACGTCCGCAGGGGGTACCTGCAGAAGGTCAGTGTCAAGTCCTTTGTGTATGCTCGAAACGTGGGTTCTAGCATCATTGCATTTGGCAACTTTATTGTGATTTAGTTTTTACAGCGATAGTTGTTATAGGCCCTTGTAATTCAAAGGCACTGTTTTAGCTAAAAACAGTCATAATCCCAAATTAAAAAAGTTTGATTGGAGTTGCCCCTTAACTACCAAGATGGCTGAAGTGTTGTTACTCTCAAGCGTAGCTTATTCAGTGACTCTAGTTGTCCACAAGACACCACAGTGAGCACCCTGCATGCAAAGTGTGATGGGGAGACCCTGTTATGCTCCGTTTTACCTTATGATGAATCACGCAGGACGCTGCAAGCCATTGAAGCCAGTTCGGTGCCGTCGGGTGGAGAATAAAAATCAAAATGATTTAAGTCAGGATTTAAATCACTCCAGTTTTACCGTGATGATAGAAATCAAACTTTTTCCTGATCAATAACTTCCAAGATATATACCTATATATTTTTTACTCCCAATTTATTTTTTGTTTGATGCTTTTTATGTGCATTTGTTTTGTATTTGAATCAAATGATCATTAAGCTAAAAAGATTGCGCAGGCTGAACACGAACGAAAACCAATGCTCTTCTGAACAAATCGGAACATTGAGCTTTTTTTTTACCTTTCACTTTGTTTGTCAGTTTCGTGGCATTTTATTGCATGCTGAAAGAAAGAAAGGAAATCAGTAGAAGTAATTCCGTAGTACATGCAAATCAAAACATAAAAGATTTAATTAATTTATTTTTAGTCATTAAGAAACCATGCAGTTTTCTTTTTAGTATGGCAAGATTTGCACCAATATAAAGTTGTTAATTAAATTATACTCTAAATGTACAGTAATTCTTTCATTCACATTATTTTCAATAATCTGATGGATTGGATAGTGTGTCTGCCATGTTTAAAATGCATCTAGTGATAAATAGTTACTTCTTTCTTGCTACAGTGGTTTAAATAAAAAAAAATCTTGTTTATTTAAATTTTCTTTTTTTCAAATCATGATTTTTTAAAATTCTGCGTGGGAGGGTCACAGCGATGGACGAGGGCGCATAGTCACGTGACTTGTTCCCAGCACTGAATTGGCTGGGACGGGTTGTAGCATCCGCTGCGCTGCATCGTAAGGCAAAGCGGAGTTATAAGAACGGCTTTTCTTATTTGTTCCTGGTGTAACAGCTCCATGAACTCCAGGTAAAATCCGGTCGGACTTGTACTAAGTGGCGTATTATGAGCGGTGCATTGCTTGTCACTTTTTACTTTTTTCCAGTAACGACCAACAATAAAAGCGTGAGGGTGCAGGCACTAACATTGGGATGTTGTCCATCTGCTTTCTTTTTCCTGTTCTTGTCCATTCCACTTTGAGTGTTTTTATTTTCTTTACCACAGTCTTGAATTACTTAATGTGGTGGGAGGTAACTGTATTGCTTCTCTTTTTTGGTTTTGCTTACCTTTGTTACTTTTTTGACTGGGTAACCTCTTGAGTAACAGCACTTGGTTATACTTTTGCCAGGGAATCTACGTTCAACTCCGACTTCGTTTTCACTTCAACTTGCGCTCTGTCTGTTTCAAGGTTGGGCAGCATCGCAACTGTATTTCAGAAATAAATTTTTCTGCTTTTGTATTTCTCTGTCACAATACGATGTTTCAACTGTACTCTGTATTTCCATTTCGAAATACATTTTCGGGTGTATTCCCGGTATTGCAATGCCATCGGGGGCAGGTGTATTTTGTTACAATTTCGAAGGAATTGTGAGACTCCGGACAAAAGTTTGAGCTAACCTTTTTTTTCCTTTTACTTGAGGAGTGGAGGGTGCTTTGAAGGGGACGCTGAAGCTTCATTAGTGTGCAGACAAAGGTTCGCCCTGAAAATTTTTTTTTTCTCTATCCGCATATGTTTTCCTTGACTTGAGGTGGTCGATTGTTTTCGTAAATTCCAAAAGCGGAAGGCGTGGCCGGCATGTCCAGCCAACGGATGAGAGAACTCCGGTTCATTTCACTGTGGTGTAGTAATCAAGACCTCTGCTGAAAGTGGCACGCAGATTGGATAAGACCATGTTGATGTCTCGAGGTTGTCTGGGAGGATGTGAAACTGATTTATACAGGTCCATGTAGTTCTACCTCAGAAGAATGAGAGATGCCTAAAATAATGCGCTTTGGCCCTGATGGAAAGTGGCATTCATCCCAATGAAGACCCACTTGCATCCTTTGCCACTATGCAAAATGCTAACAGTTAATTTTGTACGAAATTTATTTCGGGTACAAAAACGTCATTGTTGAAACACCTTAGTGAGAGCTCGTTTGTTGATTTCAGAAAAGTTCTCATATAATTGTTTAGAGTAATGTAGATCATGCTTGTCTTTGCTCTTCCTATGCACTATCATCCGTTTTACGATAACTTGGCAGACTGTGGAGGCTGTAGCCCCCGCGACCCAATAAGAGCATCGGAGAAAGGCACTTGACAACACTCCATGGTCGATGCAACGGAGGCCTTGTTACTGTCCCAGCAACAGCGCCGTCTGCGACCGAAAGTAGTTTTAGGCTTTTTCTTTTAACGGCAATTGAAGTCGCGCGATTGCATCTCTATTGACACTAGGCTACACGAGATGGAGGAAGGACGAAGACGTGTGACTTTTCAACGATATTTATTTCGGATCAACCCTTTTAAACAATGTTTGAACGATTGCTACCCTGTAATCGACTGCTTTCGCTCATAACGTCGCTCTGGCATTAACACCCACCACAGATTCACGGGTACTAAATGGAGCATATGGTTGTCTCATGCACTGTTCCCGAAAAGGTCGTTACTCTAGCAAACAAAAATGTTGTGGCGGAGGACGTTCATCCGAAGTTGGTTGGTTTCGCAGCAGATGACTCTTTACCAACAGATGACAGCATGTTCCTTTGGGCCTTGCATTTGGCGCAGTGACATAAACACTCCCGTGACAGGGTATCATGTGCCTCACTTTGACGCTCTCCTTGGGTCGCGGGGCCCGTAGCCTCCGCAGTTCGCCAAAGTGTCATGAAGCCAAGCATAGCCGGTGCACCCAATCAGTTCTTTCGACTATAAAAATATCCCAAATATTTTTTGTTAAAAATATTTATTTCTGCTTCATAAAATGCAGTCCTCCATTTGTATCTCCATATAGTTTTAAAATTTTTCAAATCTATTTGTGATACATAGTGTGATACCTCTTTGTTACTCTATTTCAGTATCAATATTTTAGCTGTGTTTGTCTTGTATCCCAGTATTCATATTTCCAAATAGGTTTTAGGGTATTTCCACCCAACCCTGGCTTGCTTCACAAGTCAGAAGAGTGCTAAGTATGATCAAAAGGAGATATTCACATAATTGAGCAGAATATGGATGCACTTTCTTCTGAATGAACAAACTCCATCATACTGTTCCTGATAAATGCTTCTCGCAAGGACGACACAAATTAAAATCAACGAGATTTGTGTCATTTACCTTTCAGCCTCTCGTTCTGCTCTCTCTACTGAATCCGTATTGCCTCGAGTCATGCCAGCTGTTAGTTTACTCTACAGTTGAACCTCGATTTAGCGAAGTCACCGGCACCCCCTAATTATTTCCTTAAATCGGGAACTTCGTAAAGTCGAGAAAGACATTCTTCGTGATAGGCTGCACGAGGAATCCGAATTTGTTTGTTAAATCGGGAAACTCGTAAAATCGGGTTTCGTTAAATTGAGGTTCAACTGTATCTTGAAAACTACAAAAAAAGTAAAGCATTGTATTAAATTAGTCATACACTATTCCTTTTCCAAATTGGTGAGGAATAATAGGCTAAGCTATTATTTAAGCAAAAAAGCAGCAAGAGCACTTCATTAAATTTTTTTTTCTGTAATGCTTCTGTGCATGGTTCAAAAAACATGAAAACAGGTGGAGGGCGGGAATGCAGGTCAGCTAGTGTTTCCGTAATGTATCACAAGCTCTAGAGGCTGAAGAGGGAGATTGTCTCCTCATTAATTAGCATCATCCATAATCCCTTCTCCGGTCTGAAGCTTTCAAGTGTATCGCTCGTAAAACAAGCAACACTACCAACTTCCTGTTCAGACACCTTGGAAACTGTAGAGTGCCACGAAATGTTATATCTTTGTTTAGAGTGTGTGAACCTTCGAATCTCTGCACAGGAGAGGAAAATGTCTATACACAATACAAAAATGCGTTTATGTGCTGATACCACAAGCACAAGCATTAGAAGTGTCACCATTTCTGTTGCTTCCTTTTATTATAAGATGGCTTTCGTGAGCGACTTAACGAACACGGAATGTTGAGACCCTTAATAACGAGATAGCTTCCGGTAAGGCTAACCCTGTGTTTCCACGGTTGGCATCCTCTCAGTCCTTGGTGGTGCTGACACGGCTACCCCTGGTGGGGCTCTTCTCCCGTGTGCTCTCGCTTGTGGCCCAAGAATACTTCCGCACGGGTCATCCCAGCCTTGAGGCCGGTACGTCTCTTCCTCCTCCCGCGTCCACCTCAAAATCTCCTTTCTTCTTTGTTCCTATCTCAAAATTTGAAGGTCGTCGTCATTAAATAACCTGTCCTTCACAAAATCCGCCTTGTCTCGTGCCTCGTGTTAAGGAATGAGCTTGAGCTTAATAGACAAATATTTGTATTGTCTGCAGTGCATAATAAATTTTCAAATTTTAAACAAGCATAGTCTGTGGATCGTAGTCCGTAAAATATGGTACTTAGAGAAGCGGGTAGAGAAACGAATGCCGAGATGGGAAAGAAATGTATGCGGATTGCTCTTTGCTGGTTGGCGGGGAACAGCGTGTCGCAGCATGGACAGCTGGCCGTCTCCTGCGCCCGGACGGTCCCTGGGTCTCCCGCTGCATGGATTAGTGGTGCAGGCACGGATACCGACGCTCCAGGGCCTGGGGAGGCCCCTGGCCCCACCCCCTTCGAGCACCCCTCAGGGGGGCCTCATCGACCCGCTGCCCTCCGTACATGAGGTGGACATCTTCAGGTGGGCTGCGTTAGTGTAGCACCTTTACAGAGGCCTACAAGGGGAGATGTGACGATCGCTTGCTTGTTGTAGCGGCCGAGAGAGGTCCCACATTTCGTGCCGGACGGTTGCTAGTGGATGTACCCTGTGCACTGAGTCGAAAGATTTTTTGGCCCCTTTAAAATATTACCCCAAACTTATGTGCAATTTTATGTGCAATTTCTCACTTCCCTTGGCATCAATGTGTCACCATGGCACCATCTGTGTGCTGGCAGCGGGGCTGTAATGGCAAAAGACGAGTTAATTCTTTCGAAATTGAGTTCTAAATGAAACAAAGTGGACAAGAAAGGTAAAAAGATATGAGGTGTTGGGTTCCCATTTATGGCGGGACGATGAATGCTTAATCTGCCCATTTTTGTTAAGCATCTTCCCTTCTAGCCCTGGAATGTAAGGTGGCACTGCTTCCCACACGCAGATAATGTCCCGTCTGTAGGCTTGCATTGCGGAACCACTCTCGCCCACACAAGAACCAGGTTTTGTGTAGTACTAATTAGCAATACATTGATGGATGAATGGGTCCATACAATTGAGCCCCCTTAATTTGGAGGAAGCTTGCATGACCTACCGTAAAATACCGGGCAAGCACCCACTCAAAATTTAGAGATAATTGCGAAAAAATGGGGGATAGGCACTTGTCCGGTTATCAATTTTACACATAAATGTACTGTGTATATTTTCTTAGATCTTAGAAATTTGGATATGGGCGCTTAATGTGGAATAAGCGGATGCGCGGTATTCTATGGTACCCTATGTTTTAACAAAATATGAAAATGAGTGCCATCTAAGTTCGGAGAGGGTCGTTTGTTGTTGCTCTAACCCAGGGGTCCTCAAACTGGATTCTGGGGAACACAGGGGTTCCATGAGCTGGTCTCATGGGTTCCGCGAACCCCCAAATAGCAACCCCCCCCCCCCCCCCCCCCCCTCTCCCCCGTTGTAGGCTATGCGGCAGGACCATGCGAAGCGCCTTCATCTCACTTTGTGCTGACAACGCGATTGATATGGTGGGGATATATGGGAAGCAACGCAAGCGAAATTGCCTACAATTGTGCATCTCTTGCTTCTCGGGCGGCAAGTATAGAGGGGGTTTTGCGGCAGTTTTTGAGGCTTCCTGGGGTTCCGTGAGACCAAAAAGTTTGAGAACCCCTTAGATTAGCAATCTCGGTTCCTCTCGCTTCTGTGCACAGCCATATTTTGAATCACTGTGATCAGGAGAGTGTGTAAACAGTCACAATGGGGTTTGTTTCTCAGGTCTTATTCCTACACATTGGCTAGAGTCCTGTTAGTCCAGAATATTAGCTGATCCCCATATTGTGGCAGTTTGACCGTAATATCCCAAGAGGTGCCCCAACCCCGGAAGATAGTCCGTCCCCTATTTCTGGCATGATTAGCTATTGTTTCTGAAACATTTGAAGATAGCCCACTTCTAGTAATTGCAGGGCCCTGGCCAATAGTGACCTCGGCAAAAACGGTCTGCGGGAGACAAGCGAACATTGCTGACTGGGAAGGACGGTCGTCTTTGGTCCATCGCCCCTTCCTGCAATCACAAAATCTAAAACTACCTTTTTTTTTATCAACTTCTTTTTTTATGGCTCACCGAAAGTTAGCTTACTCCTTATTTTCATCCGATTTGCTATCGATTTCGGCTGGGCTATCTCTTGGGATATTCTGGTAATCAACGGTGGCAGCTGCCTGTCTCACTCATAGGTAAAAGGGGGCTACTGTTTCCCTGTGTGTGCATGATGTAATGGTATAAAACAACAGCGAAGTCATAGACGAAAGGGAAGATTGTAAAATGTTTTGGAAAATAAATGTAGCCACATTTTTTTTTCTTCTTCCAGAACAAGATTAATTGTTTTATACCTCCCCGTAAGTATGGCCTCACAAAAAAAAAGGTATTCCAAGGTGCATCTCAGCAGTGCTTTGTGTCCGTGACATCCAGCTTTTCCTCATCAAAACTTGGGAGTTACTATTCCAGTTCATAAAGCAACTTGGTGATGCCGTGCCATGAAGAGTCACGCAAGCCGCGTTTACACAAAACGGGTCTTGAGTGCATCCACTCCAATTGCCCTTGGAACGAAGGCGAGGCGTCAACAATTGCACGAGTGCGCATGCACGCCCTGGCAAGCAAAATCATTTTTAAGCGCTTGCAGGACACTGCCATGCCTTGTTCCACCAGAACGCACCAACCCTGCCTGTGCCGGAGAGGCTCCAGCGCAGGCAGGAACGGCACCGACGTAGGCGCTGCTTGTTCTGCCGTACCGGTGCTTGGAGCTCTCGGTGCCGTTCCTGCTTGCACCGAAGTCTCAGACGCGCACGTATAGCAGTTTGAAAGGCGTGGACGGGGGCCGCCCTCACTGAGCAGTTAGGTTATCATTTATGATGGCAGAGCCTGCCATCATAGAAGAGCTCTTGTTTCTTCTCGGGAGAAAAGTGTGGGCCATTCTCCATCGTCGCCGACGAGACTGGCCGCCGCCATGTTCATTCGCTCATGCAGTGAGCGCCTTTTCGTAATCCCCCTCGTTCCAAAATGCAATACAACCTCCGTTTACATGGGCCACCCGAATGTGCATTCGTTGCCTCGATTCGCCTTCGTCTAGCGACTTGAATGCAATGCAATTCTCTTGCGCATTATGACATTTACATGACTGCATTGATTGCGATAGCTAGAGTCAATGCACTTAAGTCGCATTCATGTAAACTTGGCTACAAGGAGATACTTCGAAAAGTCCAAAACGATGCAGATTTTTATCGGGCTTCCTGCCAGCAGTGCGAGCCCTCAAAACACCGGTTCCCTGAAACGGTGGCATCACCAGCTTGTCTTCCGTTAATGCCTTTGTCTGATTTCTCAACCTTCAGCACTTTCAGATGTACCAACTATCTCAAGAGATGCCACACCCCTAAAAAATAACCCACCCCTTGTTTTTGCTTGGTTTGCTTTTTTTTTTTTTAAGCACCAAAACATAGCCAACTTTTAGTGATTGTAGAGTTCGGATCAATGATGACCTCAGCGTAAAGGCAGTGGCTAGTTAGCTAGGGCGTGATATAAGTGAAATTTGCCGACCAGGAGGTAGAATTGTCTTTGCTTCATTGCCCCAGGCTGCGATATGTTTGGCAGGGACATATAATCTAAAAGGATTCTTTTTTTAAACTTTTCTCGATTGCACATTGAAAGTTAGCCCACTCTTATTTTCACCCGATTTGCTCTCGTTTATAGTTGGGTCGTTTCCCAGGATACTACTGTGGTTGTAACTATAGTAAGGGAACCTTTATATGGATCAGGGCTTTTAGCCCCTCAGCAGTCAATGGAGCAACGGCAGTTTCTTTGGGCCATTTATGGTTTTGCTCGGCGTTCTTGCTTTTGAAAAGCATGAGTCCCATTGAACGCGGTATAATAACACGCCCAAAAGCGCACAGTCATTCATTCTGGAAAACCGGCGTTGCCAAACGCTTTCGATTCTTAGCTGGAGACGTATTCAGCCGTTTCATCCAGAGACAATATTTGAGGGCCTCCTCTATGTGACTGCAGGTGCCTCCTGCCGATGCTGTCACACGTACAACTCCTCTGGGAGCTGGTCCTGGTGGCAGAGGTAGGCCGTTCACCTTGTCTTCTGAGTGGTGCTGGCAAGAGGTGAAATTTCGCGCTCTGTGCCCCACAGCCCGTGGTGGTGATGGCGTCCTCACCGGCCGTCTGCTCGGAGACGGTGCACGCCCTGGTGGGGCTCATCTGGCCCCTGCGGTTCTGCGCTGACTACCGGCCCTTCTTCACCATCCACGACAGCGAGTTCAAGGAGTACACCGCAGGATCGGGCTGCCTGTGAGTGTGGGCCACCTTGCACTTTCGTCAGTTTCGCCAACCAATGGCCTGCCTACACTTCATTGCGCCGAAAGTCACGGCACTTCTCGAGGCTAAAAGATGTACAAATACAGGCGCACGAACCAAAAGTACAAGGTCACTGCGCACGCGCCATACTTCATTGATCTAGTCGCAATGGTGGCCCATGCGCCGATAGAAGGCAAGTGACGCGATGTTGTGCTTTTGTAAGTGCTTGATTTACCCCATTGACTCATAGTCTTGGCTGCGTTCGGTCTTACGGTGGAATGAAGCTTTCATGTCTTTGCCACGTCGCAGGGTTTTGTTTTTGGCGTCAAATGATTTGGTTAATAAGATGCCTCAACTGGCATTGTTACCGTTTTCTTTCTTGTATTGACTCTATACTCCGCGACCACTTTTCTTGGCAATGCAGTGGAACGTACGTCCCGCGTCCCCTCTCCTATTTTGAGTGTACGCAGGCTTTCCTCCTCCCCCATTTCCGGGGAGAGGAGGAGTGCCGGCGCACACTCAAAATGGCAGAGGGGACGCGGGACGTACCTTTTACTGCATTGCCAAGAAAAGTTGTCGCGGAGTATAGCTTTGCTGTCTAACTGTTCAACTACATCACAATGCTTTGTTAGACATCTCAACATTGTTACCTTCTCTTGAAAAGGAACCACCTGGAGGCCTTAGAGTGGTGACCGACTAGTAAAAAAGTAAAAGGCACAAACTTTTTTACAGGAAGGAGCTTTTGTTGGCCTACAGTGCTGATACCAGCTTTTTTTGTCCCTTGCATGCCTTCTACCATGCATGATCTTTGCAAAACTCGGAGCTGGCAGGTAAAGCGGCAAGGGGTGCTACTCATAATGGAGTGAGCTCCCTACACCAGCTACGAATATTTAACTTAATTGGCCCTTTGCTGTAGTGCTTACTTATAAAAGTAGGTCGATCTGACCGCAAATTGAGATCTTGGCTGGTTACCAGTTTTTAATAGTCAACCCAAATGCACGAGAAATGTTGTTCTGCATCAAATGTGGCCGAGATGTTTCCACGGACGCGCTAATGGGCGATGTCCTGTTGGGCTCGCCTCTTGCACCTTTCCCGTTGGCTGCATCCGGCTGTCTTGGTCACGCAGACCCTCCGTGATCCTGGGAGTGACCAATCCATTCTTTGCCAAGACCTTGCAGCACTGGCCTCACGTGCTGCGGCTTGGCGACAACCCCTTTCCAGGTTAGGGATATTTTTCTTGTAATCTATCCCCCTCAGTCTTCAATGAATTACCCCCCTGGGCTGCAAATCTTCCGTAGTTAATTTTGACGCTATTTTCAAGCATTAATTTACAGATCTACGAAGTTAGCTTCTCACAAATTAGGTCAAACCTGTGAAGTCTATAGTAGAAAATGCAGTTGTAGGATTTGTTTGTGCTTTAATTTACATTTTCTCAATTAACTACAATGGTCAGATACGACGTGATATGGGTAAACACTACAGTGATGTGATTGGTTTGAGACATTTTGGAGCAGCAAATTGCACTGTTGGAGCATAAGCACACTCTTCATTTTCATTCCTGCAAATATTGTATGTTAAAGGCTTTTTGATATCGTTTTATGGTCTACGGGCTCTAAGTGATCTAAAATACCCGAAATTACATTCAAGTGATCAGGCAACTCTTACCATGGGTGCAGAATGACAGATGGTGCTACCGAATTTCGCTGAATATGGTTGAACGACGGACAGCGCTTGTCAGCCGCTCGCGAGCAATGGGCTTCTGCATGGACAAGCGGCCGACCAGTCCCGCTCGTCCACGCGGGCACCCATCACTCGTTGGAGGCTGACAAGCACAGTCCGTCGTTCGACCATATTCAGCCAACTTCGGTAGCGCCATCTGTCATTCTGCGCCAATGGTAAAGTTGGGTACTTTGATCACTTTGTTAATATGCAAATTGGCTGCGTATGAATATAATTTTGGGTTTCCTAGGTTGCTTAGAGCTCGTAGATTGATTTATGTCCATAAATTGAGAATCTCAAAAAGCACTTTAGTGCCTTTTGAGATCCTCATTTTATGGCACTATATTTTTTTATGGCATTAGCACTTTAGTGCCCTTTTAAGATTCATGTGTTGGCTTGTCCTCCAGAAGACATTGTCTACTTTACCTTCTCACATCTGTGCAACCTATTGTTGGTAACAGTTGCACGACAGGTTTGATTCCCTCGCACGCCTCAAACACAGAACTATAACTAGCCCTATAGTTGTGTGTGAAGCACTAGGCACGACAACAATGTGCTGAGTAATGAAGGACAGTATGAACTGCTGTGAATGGTTATTTCAGGTACATAGCCATAGGTGAATTAAGTTACATTCCACAGAAATAATGTTAGAACAAAAAATAATGAGCCCCAAAATTGATATTTCATATGAAGTCCTAAAGGTTGTAATAAAACTGTCATTATTAATTTAGATAAAAACAAATTTCTCATAATTTGATTGTTAAACTTCAATATAACAAAAATTAGCATGTGAACGATATGTAAGCCTTAGAAACAATCCAGTCAAACTAATTAAGATTATTCCCAAGTTTCCATCCTCTGCACCAGCTAATTTAGTTTTAATTTTGTCCATTCACTGTGCCATGTCACAGACAGAACTTATGTGAAGGTGATAACTAAACAAGATAGTTGGCATGAACAGATGACCTTATAGAGCCATTCATATAAATCCCCCGCAATACACAAGTATCCTTGCTAAATCTCGAGTCAAAAGAATTGTCAAAATATTGCAGTCTGTTATACATACTAACTGCTGTCTTATTCAGAACTTTTTGCTGCAAGGTGCGAGGTGCAAGGTGAAACAAGATACGCAAAATCGCGATGCCTGCTTCTCGCTTCACTGCAGTGCACACCAAAACTTGCTAAGCTTTTTTTTTGTTTTTTAGTATGCTTGATGCTTGTGTGTGCAATGTTCTGCTCCAGGGGAGTGCTTTCCCCTTGGCATGTGGCTGTGCTGTGGCGAAGCACGATATGCAAAATCGCGATGCCTGCTTCGCGGTTTTCGTTTAACTGCAGTGCATCACTGGGCGGTGAGAAGTGCACTCAACGAAGCTACCTACACAACACAGCTATGGGAACACAGCACAAACATGAAAAATATTGTTAAATGTAGATGGAGTATTACTACTACGTTATTTAAGGCAATATAATTGAAAGTTTTGAAAATATGGACAAGCCTATCGTAAAGATCCGGTTGAGTAGCAGGGCTTCAGCTATTATTTTTTTAGTGTTAATAAAGTGAAATTACATTTTGGCATAATGTTGGCCCAAATTTATCAGATTTTGACGAAATCGAAGAGGGTAAGCCTTTTGATGCAAATGGCACGCCAGAAAATGTCAGTCACGGTATCGATACTGTGATACTGCAATGAATGTCAATAATGAATATATATTCAACGGGCGAACCTCTCCATTCTCCTTCACGTCAATGGGAGGAGGAGCCAAGGAGCTAAGCAGCACGGAGGAGAGCCGACGAAACGGCTCGTGTTCTGATGCCACAGTGACGTTAGCTCCATATGGGGACCACTTTTGAGCCAGCGCACTCAAGAAAACAAAAGTTTCGTGCAAAATAAATATTTCGTTTTTTTTACTTTTTTTAGCAGATTTTTTTAGGGGTTGCCCTTAGACAAACAAGGGGGGTGTACAGCCCCCCTAGGGGCTGGGTAGTGAAATAACAAGGCACAGGTATCACATCACTGTGGCGTTTTGTTAACCTTTTAATTGCTCTTCATCTGCTTCAACTGACCTCTTTGTATATGCGTGCCGTCAGACTCCCCCCAGAAGCTCAAGAAGGCGGGGCAACTACGTACCTTGGACAGCAAACCAGGTGAGAACAAAGCACCTTGGGACGTACCATCGGCTAGTCACTTCTCTTGCTTACCGCTGTATCCGTCTACCATTATGCATAGCTACCACCATATGCTATGGTATCATTTTATGGCCACCATCAGATGTAGCGACCATCTATCGTAAGTAGTGTTCTGCTCTTTCGGGTTGTTGCTATAAACCCCGAAAAATAATCCACAAGCAAAAAAACTCAAATGTAAAGCTGTCCTTGAACTAGAAAAAGAAAAAAAAAAAAATTGAGGGAAAATATTTTTTTATATCTACAGCTTTATTTTATTGGCTCAGAACGTAGCTTGCACTGAACTGTCTCCGAGACAGCTTTTTTCTTTGGAAACCACACCCCTTGTCCTGTTTCCCTGTATTAGAATCGGGATGTTTTCTAAGTATTTGGGTCGCACGCACATTCCTGGAGGTTCGGGAATTCCATCGCCGTGTTCCGTTACTTGCAATGCAAGTCTCAATAAACGCCAATTTCTTGCCAACACCAGAAACACGCCCAAAGAAACACCAAATCTGCGGGAGAACACAAACCTTGAATACACCGAACCCTACTCATAAGTGACTACCACCGTATGTAGCTACCATCATACGTGTGTGTAACTAACGTCATATATAGCCACTGTCATGCGGTCACCATCAGATCTGGTTACCATTCACTGTACTTGATAATCGTTGCACATGGCTACCGTCGTATGTGGATATCAACATGTTGATACACTCGTGTGGCCACTGTTAGATGACAGAATTATAGTATGAAACTTCTTACATATTACAATCTCTTGGAGGCCAGTTTCCATACTAATTTGTAGAGCTTTGCGCTGATAACACTTTGATCATCCGATCCGAATCTGCAGACTTCGTATCCGCATCCGATCTACATTCGCAGACTTTGTATCCACATCCAAACCGCATCCGCAAAATTCGGAACCGTATCCGACCCTCAATTTGTGCATTGATCTTGCATCATGACATGAAGCGTGAATAAAAATTAAAAAGGTATCTGGATGGTATCCTGTAAGCCGTCTGCTTACCTTTGTACAGAGGACTCTTCGTGTCAGAATATGGTGAAAGTCATTTTATCGTATTCTCTTTTATCATATTTATAAAATAAGCGATCAGGCTGCCAGAGACACTTTGCATCGCTGGTAAGACGGTTGCAGTTATGTAATTGTCTCGAGAGTCTGTGACACTAACACTCTGCTCAGAAGACGCACTCAAAAGGATGGAAATTTTAATATTTATTTTCCTTTTTGCTTCGTAAAATCCACTTCAAACAGAAGCATATTTTATAAACATGAAAATTAACAAAGGTCGGACTAATAACATGTGTCAGTTTATTTAGGCCAAGCAATAAAAAAGTGGTAGAGGAAAGGCGCTTATTTACCGCAGCAAAGTATACTCGTGTATATGTGTGGAAAGGTGCGAGTACACCACTGGGGAAATATCACAATATTCAATAATGGCAACACTTCCTAACGGTTTAAGTTTGAAACACAAACCCTCAACTGCATGCTCGGAACCATATGCTCGAAGACAAGTCAGTGCCAACTGTCGAAGAAAAAGAAGATGGTACGTAACCAGCGGCGTAGCTAGGGGGGTTCAGCCTCTACCCCGAAATCCAGCCAACTCTATAATATACACATGCATTTGGGCCTTCACCCTTACCCCCCTCCGCACCCCAAGTCATAAACATCCCAGCCACCTCAGCGCCCCTAATAATTAAATTGCACGTGTTAAATTTTCAAAGCCTTGTTTCATTTTAATTAAATGATAAAATCTCCAGTTTAGGCAGAAACAACCTTATGCGGTGGGCAAGTTCATCTTTTTTTTTTTGCCGGGGTTGGGGTGACGTCAGAACGCCGAGCTCCAATTGACTTTGATTGAAGGATACAGTCTAAGCTCGTTATAACAGACCTTGATTTTGACAAAGATTTCGGTCTGTTGTACAAGGGGTATGCTCTATGCAGATATGAAGTTGAGTCAATGGTATGTAGAGGAAAACCAACCGAACTTCACAATTTGGTATGTTATATCCAAATGTCTGTTGTAACCAGGTCTGTTGAAATGAGCTTAGACTGTAGTGGGTAGAGCTCAAAGCAAGCTGCTTTGAGATCTGCCCGCTATCCTTCAATCAGAGCCAATCAGAGCTCGGCCTTCTGACATCACCCAACCCCGGCAAAAGGAGCAGACAAACTTGCGCTGCGCATCGAGAGCCAGAAAATGCAATGGGGGCATCAGTGCCCGCAACTTTCGAAATAACCAAAAGTTCAATCCACCTAATTTCTTCAGCATATCAAAAAATTAGAAAAGTACTTATTTTTGTTGCCGAGAAATATTTTTTTTAAGATGGGCTTGTCCAACCGTGCCTCTAGGTGCCCGCTTTGTAGGCGACGCACACTGGCTTTCGCCAGCGAGGCGTCACCGATGTGAGACGTTGCTACAAGGTCTTCAACTCTCTCTTGAAAACACGTGTGATTCAGTTGAAGTGGACGTTACCCTGACTTCCATGTATCCTGTGTCCTTTCCACGTTACGTGATGATAGTGTCGTCTTAATTTTACTCTAATTCTGCCCACGTAACTGTCAACAAACACAGACCTGCATCGTCTGCTTCCCGAGCTTGGGCATGCATACTGCGCATCGGCCTCATCTGTCGTATGTCCAGATATAAAAACAATTCAGAACAGATAGCTCTTTACCGATGTGAAATGGTAATGGTTTTAATCGAAAGACAATTACAACAAAACTGAAGATAAAAAAAAATGACCGCATCTCCACGTGGTGAATGATGTTGATTGGGGCGAAGCTCTGGTGGTGCTGATGACGTTCGTTTTCATCCATGTCAGAAAGGGAATGTGTGGTGTGGAACGTGGTTATATACGCATTTGAGCATTTGACCGCAGCCAATACCACCTAGAACACAAGGCCTGCGCGTTTCCTCCTCTAAACGTCATCACTAGTAGATCCCCTCAGCGCCCCCTAGCTAGCCCGGATGAGCAACATCGTCTGCTCCATCGCCTGCTTCGGTGGTTTGTGTAACAGATAATGAAACAGATGCTCACGAAGAGTGTCTCTTGGAAATAGCATACGATGAAGTTAGACGTTCACGTGGAGCGTCAAATGCATGAGTGAAATTGCCTTACTGCTGCGCGAAGGGCTGAAAAGCCCTTCATTGGACGCTGGACGCTGACACTGGACGCCATTTTCGAAGGCGCTGTTTATACCCCGGGTAGCTGCTTCGAAACGCTCTACCGCAGAACGAGCGCGTGCGCTAGAAATGCGCGTCTCAAAGCCAGGAACGCGTGCTAGCTCGCGCTCCTGGCCGAGGGAGCGTTCGCGTGCACGTCGCAAATGCACTGGAAGCTCGCTATCAGCTCGTGCTCAGCAGTCACGCACACAGCTGCGGCCGCAAGTGAATGCGACGTAGTTGCGACGCGGCCCCTACTCTCGTCAAGCTTCGGGGTGTTTGCCGCTTGGGGCGGGTCGGGGATCTACTAACGAAACGTCATGCGCAGGCCTTGTCTTCTAGGTGGTATTGCTGCAGCGCCCTCTCGTCTCTAAACGTTGAGCCAATGCATGCAAAGTTGAACACGATTATATACGCATTTGACCGCAGCGCCCTCTCCTGTATAGATGTTGAGCGGCTACATGCAGCGTTTCATCCATGACATCCTCAGCTCTTGATTTACTACCACATCTCAGAGCCCCCTACTCGTCCTGCAGTCGTGGCCGAGTGGTTAAGGCGATGGACTAAAAATCCATTGGGGTCTCCCCGCACAGGTTCGAATCCTGTCGACTGCGCAAACATTTTTTTCTTTTTTTAAGAAGACAGATGGGATGGCAATCGATGTGAGCACGGACGCCGGACAAGGCTAGACCCTAAGGAGCTTCGCCCCTAAAAGACAACGGGCGACTTACTGTTTCTAGGAAACACACACACACACACAAAATTACTTGAAGCAGCGTCCAAGGCTCTGGTCGACTAGCATCCCAGCGACCGGCGCTGCAGTGTTGCACTTGTTGTGGCTTCGCATCTTCACGCCTCCAGATTTCGCCACCGCGGAACAAACGCACCGACAGCCGTCAACTTTTTGTTTTCATTTTGATGTTTGCGTTCGCTCTCTCTTTTCTTGAGGAATATTGCTTGGCAGCAAGAAAAGTAAACACACACACACGCACAAATAATAGCTCTTTAGCCTCTCGGCATAGTCAGATATACCGATTTCGGTATATCTGACTATGCCGAGATTTGACGATTTCGGGCGACAACTGGGGTGGGGCTGCAGCCATTACACGGAGAGAAATAAAAAGTTTTTTGGAAATCCTTTTTTTTTTTTTTTGCCAAAAGTTTCACTACTTGCCTTCATTAAATGGAAGTACTCACACATCTTGGTAGATCAAGAAAACATTTATCGGTATTGCATAGACAGGCGTGCAAAGTCCTTTTCACTCGTCCGTAGTAGAGCACTCATTTTCAGAACTTGTCTCGGCGGCTCTGTCCCAGATGAGGTCATCTTCCGTGCCATCCAGCTTGTTGGAAATTCCAATCACTTTGAAGCTTTTTTCCACGATATTGAAGGAAGCCGCGCCCCTCGCTTTGAGAATCCAGTCAAACACCTCTACAAGGGATGCCCTCTTCAGCCAACCAGTCAGTGTTTTCTGGTGAACTGTCGTTGCCATCCACTTGGTGTACGCACGGCGAAATCCGCATTTGAAGGACCTTTTCACTGAAACATCCAGTGGCTCAAGCATGCCATTCATACCTCCAGGTATGAAGGCCAACCCTGTTTCAGACGCGCGAAGGCGTTCTCGTCCACCCTCAGTCAGGTGTCCCCGAAAGCTATCCAAGACGAGCAGCAATCGCGTTTCGAGGCTCGCACCTGGTCGCTTTTCCCAAACGCAAGTCAGCCAGTCTTTCACCAGTTCATCCGTCATCCATCCTTTCTCTTGTGCTCGAACAAATATGCCCTTAGGGGACGGC